TAAGACATTGATGTTTTTTTTTTTTTTTTAATAATATTATTATTACGTGCGGCGTAACAATATATACTCGGTCGGTTTTTCGACTTTTATTTTATTTTTTTTTTTTTTCTACGTTTTCTATATAGTAATGCCTTTTTCCCTTCACCCACCCATCGCTTCCATCGCTCAATTTTAACAATACGTTTAACGGTTTTTTTTTTTTTATCGAAATTTTAATTGTATCGGTTAAATTTTTCGCGAGCATTTTTAAAGCGTTTTTAAAAAAAAAAAAAAAAAAAAAACCGAAAGTATTTTTCAACGCGTGCATTTCGCGACCCCAACAACAATTACAATTACAATAATTATAACACTTTATACGCCGTACATTATAATAATATTATGTTATTAAAACGCGCGCGCGCGAGAAATCGTTTCATTATAATTATTAGCCCGCGACGACGACGTCCGTCTCGTGTGCTGCAAATGTCGTGTTTTCGTACACGAGTAGGTACGCGCGCCCCGAGAGAGAAACACCGGAGACCCGACAATCGTTACGAATTAGAAACGTCGCGCTGCACTGTCACGCGGCTTTCGACGAACGACTTCCGCCGTTTCGAAAAACGATAATAACACACTGTGCGGGATAAGGGGGGGGGATCGTTGGGGATCGTTGCGTATAAACAATGATGTTTTACAAACCGTTACGGGTTTTTTCATGAAACCCGTGTTTCGTTTTAAACTACAAATCGCCGACGAGGCCGCAAGTCCGTAAAAATGAAGAGGAAAATTAGTGTCCGTATCGCTCGCAAACGTTTGGACCCGGATAGTACTGTACGCGAAATTCAACGGGGCCCAACTACGGGTACTACGGACAAAAACCGCTTTGATCCGGGACCCGGTTCGGGTGCGGCCGAAAATGCGTTATTTTACGAAGGTGAGCCGAAACGGTTCTCGTTAAAATTCGCGATGTAACCGTACTGCCGCCGGTCGTATTGGCCACCGCCACCGTGACAGTGGCAGTGAGACGGTCGACTCGCCTTCCCGTAGTTCTTACAGGCTCGGGACCGTCGACTCGGAATTACATAGAAACCGTAAAGACGTTTCTGTACGTCATACGCGACGCGTGTAGCCCCGTACACAGACGCGTGTATCCGGATTAACGCGACGACAATATTTTATCACCTTAAATACCCGCCGTCGTACGATAACGGTCGAATGGAAATTCGTAAATTGGCCGCGCGTTCGTCGTGTCGGGTTCTTCTAAGAGACAGTGTAGGCATTGAGCGGCGACCGGATTCGGACGCGTCCGACGACCGCGTAAACACGCCCCCCCCCTCACCGGATACGGCCGCGATACCGCCGTACGCGGTCCGAAACGCGGGATGACAACGATGTCCGTGACCGGTACGTCATTTGAAAAAAGTCCCGCCGTCGGTTTTGTTTTACGCGCGATGACGGCGAATGACCGCCGCCCCCGCACTGTGCGCGTACGTCGGCGCGTGTGACTATTCGACGGACGCGATGAACAGGCCGCCGTTGTCACAACGTCACGTCGCGCGGTGTACGCGCACGCGTGTTAAATTTATCGCGCCTTTTCGCGGTGTTCATACATAAAATCGCCGTTTCAATAACCGTGTAAAAGGCGCCGGGGCGGCGGACGGGCGAGGCGCGGCGTCTGGTTAGAAAACCGATTGTACGGCGGCCGGCGCGCCGATTGAAATCCGCAATACAAAATTCGACAACTGCAGCACGATCGTCAAACGCGACGGAAGTCGTACGGCCGGTGCGCGTACCCGTGCGATACATTTTAACGTTATTGTCGCCGTCGTCGCGCGAAAGTTTTACGCGGCGCAAAACTATTATTTCGATTCGACCCGTTTATCGCTACCGCCGTATCCATAACTGAATTCGGGAGCGGGGGTGGTAGCGCCGAGCACCGGCGAACGTGGTTTGAACCTGCCCCCGGTCGCCCGCCCCTCCGAGGTCCGGTTTCCGGGGACGCGTTTCCCCGTCCGCCGTTCCCCGCGATCCGCGGGTACGGGCACACGATAGACAGCGAAACGAGTGCGCCGTCCGCGCGTCAAGACGGCGTGCAGCCACCGCGCGCGCGCGCCGCTCTCCCCGTAATACCGATAAGACCCACGCGAGATATTCGCACGCACATTTGATTAGGTAAGTCGCGACGAGAGCAGTGATAACAGTACTTGGCGCGCGCGCGCAGAATTGAGGGGCGCTTTTCATGCGTCGGCGACACCGCGTTTTATTGCCCGTACGGCTCTATCCGTTGCACGCGATCCACGTCCCTTGCCGTCACAATGAATGCGTTTGACGTCCGGACGACGCGCGACGTACAGATCGTATAGTATAGGTATAATTTTCCTATGACTTGTAGAGAAATGAAAAAAACAATTTTGCTCTGAAAACGTATTATTTTCATTCGCATTCCGACGAATATAAAACGCATAACACGAATCATCATTCATTATTCCTTACAACTATCATTCTGCATTCATTGTTCATTAAAAATAAATGTAATACCCACTCACGAATACATCCCTCTAGAAAGGAATTAAATAATTCTGCAGATGCGTTATTTTTAAACGCCGTCAAAAAATCACCAATCGGTAAAAGCTATCGACCGAATACCCCCTATAGTGAAACCTAAATATTGTTCTCTACGTATACGCGTTTAATGGTTTCTTTTTTTTTTTATATAATCATAATAACAACAACAATCGTGTAAACGGAGTGCGAAATCGTTTTTAAAGCGTAGCCATGGTGGTTTTTTTATCACTCAAAGTTTTGTTTTTACTATTAAATAAAATATAAGTGAAATGACTTTAATAAAAAAAAAAAAATAATGTTTTCGAAACTCCACGAACATTACGAGACGGTATATTTTCCTCCTCCCCAAATCTTCGTGAGATCCCGTGGCTCCCGTTCGCTTAGGTAGTCGTCGTTTTGGCTATACGTGTACGTTTATACACACATATATATATATATAGGTATATATACTATGGCGTTTTTATATTAAAAAATATTGATTTTCCGTTCGCCGGAGGAGAATATTAAGTGTTCCCGCGGAGCACCGCCGAATACCGCGGCTTATTGAACAAGTCTGCTATTTTTTTGTGGGGGAAAAAAAAACTATATATATATTTTTTTATCGGTAAGTAGTTAGCGGGGTCGTAATAACACGACCGGCGACGGCTGAGGTGGAGTAGAACGAGAAGGAGGCGTTGAGAGTAGACTGCGAGTTTGCCGCGCGAACCATAAGGCCGCGGAGTAAAAATGTTACGATCGGTAAATACGCGCGCGCCTTTGCCCCGCGTGTGTTTATCGAAGAAGTTTATTGTTATTATTATTATTATTTTTTTTTTTTTTTTTTATCAAAATGCGATTATCAGCGCTACCGCGCGGTTATTATTATTTATATTTATCCGAGTGCGCCGTCGCCGCCGCCCGTTAACGTGCTTATTATATTTGAATTTGCGATTGCGGTTTTGAGGTTATACATACACGCGCACACGCATGCACACACATATAATTCTCGTACGACATTGTACAGGTATATCTACCCCTAGTGTGCAGACTGTGCGGGTATTGTGTGTGCGCCATGTCCTTATTATCAGTCCGGTGGGATTCGCGAAAACTCGTTCGACAAATACAAAAATAATAAAAATTTAATTTCTCTTTTTTCTTCTCGTAACATTTGCGCAGCGTTCAAATTGATTTCTCTGATCTTGCGCGCGAGACAGCAGTTGTCTGTTCATCGAAAATTATCGGCCGCCGCGCCGCCCGTTTGAACAATGAACGTATAATCGTACAATTCAATTATTACTCTTAGGTGCGTACGTTATATCATATCAGTTGGATATTTTTCAAGGTTAAAACAAAAAGTAAATAACTGGACGACAATTTCACTTGGAAACGACGTTACGCTTGAAAATCGGATTTGGACTTCTGGTAGAAAAGTTGTGCACAGACACAAAAAAAAAACAACAAAATATCGCACACGTAAATAAACCCAACAGATTTCTCACTGCGCTCGAAATCTAAAAAATATTACTGTTCTAATCGGTGGCACTGGCAGTTTGCTCGGCGATTTTTAACGGAGTATTTCATGATGGGGTGACAAAGTTGTTATACGTATAGTTCTGAAGGGTGTGGGATTTGTCTCCTCCTAAATATGTTACACAGATGATTAGATGAAATTAATAACGAAAGTGGAATAATAATTCGTATTTTCAACTACGGAAGTTCCGTCCATTTTAAAAATATTGTTCATTTATCATAATACAGTCGATTCAGAAAACAAAATCTTTTTTTTTTTTTTTGATATTTTGTTGGCCATTGATTATGAATTAACTTAAACAGGGCCGAATTAAGCCCTAAGAACATAATTTATTAATAACACATAGTAAGGTCATCTTAGTGTGATGTACAATAAATGTATAACAAACACCTGGAACTTTAGCTGTAAAATTATTTTATTATCTTGCTGTCTATTTAAAACATTTTAATATGCTTACTTTTGGTATGGCTCAGACTAGTCTCAGACACTTGCCTACTTCGTCTATATCCACATTAATCCGGGCCTGAAGTCTTGTTCGAACCAAATTGTTTTAAAACCAAAGCCAATACACTTAAGATCATAAAATAAACGTAAGACGGAATGCCTCCGTCATTGTGCTACACAGATAGATTTTGAACGTATTAAGGCGAGTAAACGTTCGGTCTGGTGTTGCTGTATACGTTACAGGCATTGTATCGTAAGTCATAAGTTAAATTATGTCTTGTCTAAAGTCAATAGTAATTGTTAATTACTATAAACTAATTAAAGATAAAATCACAAACACGGACAATCGGGGGAGGGTTAACTTTACAACTCACACCCTCCCACAGTAAGCACGTCCCTGGGCACGTCACCTTGAGAAGGGGGGGGGGTTAAGTCCTTCAAAAAGTACTATAGTACCCCTATAATAGGTTAATATTATCGTTATAATTTATTATGACGTGTGCGAGAAAACCGTAAAATCAAATATGTCACCCAAGTTTAGTACAAGGATACCAGATACAATACAGAATATACCAAGCTGAGCAATTTACAAAATTACTTATTTGAAATGTAATTTGGGCGTCGTAATGTAACTTGCATTATCAGGGGTTTAACAGAGCATAACAATTAATGGCACACACCTTTATTTCGGGAAATAAATATAGTAAATAAAAAGATGGGCGTATATTTTATGTTTATCGATGCATTATAATTTATTATACTCAACCGAATGGACAGTAAAATATAACATTATTAGTCATAGATATAGTTATATAATTATATATATTTATATAAATTTTTGTTTTTTATTTTAACAATACAATATCACAAATATTCCATTTAAAATATATAAATCGGTACACAATTAATAATATAATAATTACACAATTTTTTTTTTTTTAAATTTTTCATTGTAATATTCATTCGGCCGATATGAATTTATAATATTTTTAGAGATATTATAGGTATCCAAACAAATTTTACATAATATATAATTTTTTTTTTTTCATCTGTACACAAATACACATATAATAATATTATGTCATAATAAAGTAATGTAGTAGTTCAATAATATTATCAATAACTTAACACGCACATGTAATACAAAAATAAAAATATAAGACGTCTTTGGCATTTCAATGTATGTAAATAAATGGGTTTAATTATAAGTTATGAGAAGAATAATTAGTAGTCTTACAAAACAGAAATTAATAAAAAAAAAAAAAAACAAATTTAGGTTTTGGTTTAACCCGTAGATCGTAAAGAGACGGATGGACCCGCGGGCATGCTATTGTATTCAAGTGTGTCCTCGAAGAGAATATATACTATACGTTATCACAGTAACGGTTACAAGTGGTTATCGTTTTAGCGTTCAGAAATGCGCATACTTCGATTGTTTCGCAATACCATTATAATCAGTATGATTTTATGGAGTTGATTAGATTCTTAACGAACACTCAAATCGTATATTCCGTAATCGCATTTACCAGTTACAGCATTTACCAGCTGATACAATATTAGCCTAGGGTCGGGACACGGTCGCATATGACTGAGGCGGTTTCAGTAGGTATCCATTTTATCCGCTGTTTCGGAAGTTCCGCGACAACGGATCGCCGCAACATTTTACAATTTGAGGTTATGAATTTAAAAAAAAAAAAAACACACACACACAATTATAATTACGTAATTATCCGAATAAATACGAATGATAACGGCATTGTTATATTATTATGTCTGCAGACGTAAAATGTGAAAAATCGTTTGAACCTAAAAAAAAAATATAAAAATATCCCCGAAGTAAACTGTCGTTTGAACCGCAATAAAGTTCGGGCGCTTTCTGAAAAAAAAAAAATTGGTATAAAACCGTTTCACTGAGAAACCGCATAATTAACACGGACGACGACCATATAGATAGCTTACAGCGGTGTCCCGACCTCGTCGTCTTCTGGGACCCCGAAGAATAAAAAAAAAAAAAACGATCCGTCCGTCTCTTTATATCGTTATCTACATATGAGTAATACTGTCAGAACCTATAACCTATTGTACATACAAATAAATAAAAAAAAAAAAATTAAAAAAAAAAGAAAGATAATCAATTATTATACACACGCTATAAACAAAGGTACATGCAAACGATAATAGAATTATTCTTTATGTATTATAATATTAAATTTGTTCGTCTATATAAGTAATATCTATAATTATTATTATTGAATAATATACTCTCTATAGCTAAGCCTAAAAAATATAATAATATCATTTTTCTTGTTTTTTTTTATATATATATAAATACATATATATATATATTATTATATTATAATATAATATATATACGACAGGAACTGAGTGTGCCAATTTATACGGTATAAATAAAAATCCGTCGCGGTAAATAACGCTAAAAAAAAAACAAATTTCATAAAAAAAAAAAAAAAAAAAATAAATAAACAATATAATAATAAAACGCGGTTAGGTGTACAACACGTCGTCGTCGCTGGGCGGCCGTAAAGTTCCGTCAAAGTTTTAATGCGCGGCGCCGCCTCCGGTCGTTCGGCCGGCGGCTTTGGAAACCCTCCAAAAACCTTGTACCGCGGTACACGGGATAATAATAATAATAACATAACGGCTATAGGTTACCGCACATACCGGTACGCGGTATTATAACGGTTAATTAATTTTTTCGTTTTTGAAAAAGTAGGTACCGATCATAATATTAATATATTGTACGCCGCAGTGGTGAATATACGGACGGTGTGATCGGCGTTCCGTATCACGAGCCGGCGATTTTCTCGGAGGATTCGAAGTGGATTTGATTTATTTTATTCAATCGTTACGGAATCGATCGGACGCCGTTTCACCACTACTGCTCGTGTAGTCCTCGCCTTCAACGAGAGAACAAACTTTTGATTTTCAAATACGATCCCTCCCCCCCCCTGGACATTTTTTACACGCGTCAAAATACGGAATATTTTTCTAAAAAAAAAAATGTCGATATTGTGTACAAAACGGTCCCACACTATAGCAATGGATTTACCGTTTATGAGTTACCAATAACAGTTAGAAATGTATACCGTAGAAGTATGGAAGGGTATACTCCATTTCGACGATTTTATCGATAATATCCGATTACTTAAAACTCTGTGAGACAATTGCTGTTACTACTAACAAATCAATCACCCTGTATGAACGTCCGGGAAATCAGGAATCCGTACGGGCTTCCGAAATATTTAAGTATACATACTGCCCACTGCCCAAATCTCGATTTAAACGAGAACTCGTGGTGAACTGATCTCGGATTTCGAAAGGGGACCTCGTCTTTTTATTCGTTAGTTATTGAGTTTCGTTTTCTGTGGACGAATGTCGTGTTAATAGTTAATAATTCAAACATTTTTTTCAAAAACAAAATTTAAGCGATTAAAAAAAAAAAAAACAACCCCCCCCCAATAGCGTCAGTAATAAATTAAGACTGTGAATTTGTAGGAAATTAATTTTTTTTTCTAAACTTATATTGTAAGACTATACATAGCATTCTTAATGCAAAGTTTGAATTATGAATAACAATGAACTCGGTTTTGAAACTTTCATTTCGTTTTTCCTCCTAATTAGGTCATTTTATTCCTTTTTATTGCATTTTGTGGTGTTTATATTTTTTTAAACATTTTTATTTTTTCACATTTCAGTGCTTTTTTTAAAATTTTAAACTCGTTAATTGGTGCATTTTTCTGGAATTTCAAATGGGTTCAATAATTTCCTTTCTATTTTTACACAGACTTAGGACTATCTAGAAAACCTACTAGAAACTCGTAATTAACGTGGTTGTAGTAATTGAAAAAAAAATAAATAATAAATATTATTAAGACCGAAAAGATAGAAAAAACCTATGGGTTTGGGTTCGACGTATTTTAATTTTGGAAACGGATTTCGATTGATTAACAAGTATACTTTAAGTTTTAATGATACAAGAACGGTTTGATTGTATTTCAGCGTTAAATAAAACGTGATTAAATTAATTTATTTGATCCTATTTTTACGTAAATACTGCAAGAATTTTTCGTCTATGATTAAATTATAATTCGTTAAAAAAATTGTATAATCGAGTCTCCAAATCGTATCTATACGTACAGGTGACAACAAAAAGATTCGAAATTGTTGTAAAACAGAAATGTACACTGTTTCCGATAGGTCCGGAGTCGTGTGCGTGCACATATATCGAATGGAGAGGAGGGGATGCCGCAAAAAATGGCTATACGCACTGGCCGACTGTCGGGCCGAGTTTGTGTATAATTAAAAAAAAAAAACTGAATGATATCATTCGAATAATAATAATATTTTCGTTGACACCGAGAAAATGTGCCGAAATTACGATTTTGAAATTTCGGTGATCCAGAATCCGGAAAAAAATTACGCCGTTATATCGTGATAATATTGATGTCTCCGATGTACTGCCGTAGAATTAACGGTATATAATTATTATTAAAAAAAAAAAAAAAATTAGAAAACCTCTCGCTTGTGGTAACAACCCTCCTACCTTCACCGTGAATCGTTTATGAAATACCTCCCGTGCAATGAGATATCCGGTCGAAATCACATTGGACATCTTTAGTAACTGCAGACGATAGTGTCGCATATTATGTCGTTCGCGCGTGGCAGATATTTCAAGTGATTTTTTTGAACCGTTCAAAATACCTGCGCATCCTACGCGACGAAACCTCGTCGGTCGAAACGTTGAGATTTTTATTTTACTTTTTTTTTGCCTTCATCGGATACATGGAATTTTGTTTACACATATTTTTTTTTTATAATTATCGCAGAACGATTCGACGTGTCATTCGGTAGACAACACGCAAAAACGAAAATGCGTAGCCATATTATTTTATCAATAACGAAACCTCGTAAGCGGCGATTATGACGCGAATGTTATTAGCGTGTATTATTTTAAAAAGCCCCGGCAATACGACATTTAGAATGTCTCCCGTACAATTCGGTAAAATCGATTTACGTGGTATTGCTGCGTAACCGACGATGTGTGACGGCATTTAATGACCGTTCAAAAAAAACCTCATAACGTGAAATCGAGTAACATCGTAACATTACGTGCAGATCCGCCGACAAATATAAGCCGATAAAACCTCCTATTCGGCGAAACGTTGACAATCGATCCGATTTTTTCAAAACTATATAGGCTATAGGGATTCAAAAATTTAAAAATTTGATCGTTTCAATCGGGAATTCGGTTTTTTTTTTTTTATATAGAACGTTTTTCTTTGTTTCTCCCGAATATTGGTTAATGCGGCAGGATTTTTTTTTGTTTGTTTTGACGACGTTATAAATAATAATACAAAATGTTTTTTAAGTAGCAGTGACGGACGGACGGACGGACTCCCGCGAAATTTCCAACATTGTGTATGATATCGATTTATGACGTACGTCTAAATTATATATACATATATATATATATATATATATATGTGTATGGTATATGCGTGTTGTACACACGGAGAGACGCGGACAATTATTTTTGATCAACGGTCCACGAAAAAAGAACGGGAAAAAAAACACACAAGCACACGCACACGCACGCACTAGCATCACTCGTCCCCTCCGTTTCGCACGTCGGAGTCGGAAAATAGGGGGAAAAAAAGCGTTCGCGGGTCCGACGAAAAGACGAGCGTGCGATTCGAAAACTGTAATGCATTTTTTCCTCTCGGCATATTTTTTCCGTTTCATTTTGCTCTTGCACACGGTTGGCGACGACAAAAGGACGCGCGCGTTCGTGTATAGGTCGGTATACAATATTATATGTATGTATGTATGTATGTATGTATGTATGTATGTATGCGAACAAGACTGGAGGAGAGTGACATTCGAAATGTACGTCGAGCTAACAAAAGAAGACGTTAAGTACTGCTAGAACCTATTTTTATTTTTTTTTTCAATTTCATCTTCGGGCGGTACTCGCTGTACATAAAAGGATATTAAAATATTACCGTGTCCGTTGCAGACCGCGTGCGCCCGGCCGATGCCCCGCAGTTTTACGGCAGGTGTTTTTTTACCCAATTTTCCCCAATTTTTTTTTTTTTTTTTTTTTTTTTTTTTTTGTACATTATCATTCTACTGCGTACCGAAGCCGTTTCTTTCTCCTCGAATAAATAAAATAATAATAATAATAATAATGATAATGATAAGTCGAATAAATAAAGATTTTAACGTCGTACGCACGAGAGCGAACTGCGTGTATGATATTAAAACGAGGGGGTTTCGTTGGATCGCTGCCCGCGCGTTCCGCGCGTATTATTGCTCGCGGGCGTGCGCGCGAAAATTTACGTCCTCGGGCTCGTAAAGAAACTGTCGAAAAAGACCGTGAAAAAAAAAAAAACCGTACAGATTCGAACGTTGTCGATACGGCGGAATCAAAAACGACTCCGGCGATAACGCGCGATTTCCACGCGAATCCTCACGGCCGCCGCGATCCACGTGTACATTTTACGTATCGTATACGTAGTGCGCGCGCACGTTTTGGCATACGTACCGACTCGACTCGCGGGTGCGTACATCGTTACGCCGCCGCGAACGACAGTTTCTCGTCCGTCCCGCGAGAGGCTACAGAATAGTACGGCGGCGTAATGTACCCCTGCGTTTCGAAAATGCGCGCGGAATTATTTTTTTTTTTTATCTGTACACCTACATATTCCTAATTCCGATTTTCAAAAGTAAACGTTCGCGGTAAATGCAAAAAAAACACTGGTAATTTTCGTTACGATATTATAACAGCTGGTGTGGCGGGACGCCAGCCGCCCCGTAGTGCGACAGTGGCGCGTGAACAAATAACGAGTGGCTAAATAATTACGCGAATTAGATCCGCCGGTAATTCTCGGATTAAACACAATATTTGAACGGTTCACGAAGTTTCTGCGGTTCGAATAATGCAAATACTGATTTTTGTTAGAAAATAAAACGATTTTCGGAATCTGAAAATAATTGTTTGTCGGACAGGGATTGAACAAAAAAAAAGGCGGAGTACTGGTAACGGGTTGGACGATTAATTAAATATTTCACTACGCCAGATTGAGGAATTGAAACACATTTACGCCACTTAACCTATGAGTAGCTGTACCTATAACAATACGTGTGCGCGTTTGTTATTTTGTTTCGGTTTTTTTGGCGAACACGTAGCAACGGCCGCGAACAAGGTCGGAGAATTTAAGAGAGAAGGACTAGAGGGAGGCTGTAGTCGCGGACCGAAAAACGAAGGGGACGGGCTATAACGGTTCGGTTAGTTTTATTGTATTCAACAATTTTTTTTTTCAGATTCCGAGGGAAGCGAATGTATGTGCTTTTTTTTTCTATAAGAAAACATTTTTTCGGTCAATAAAAGTTTTTTTCACGTCAAACCTTCAAAGATACGTGATTTTTTTTACAGCGGCACATTATTCAAAACGTTTATCGATAACTCAGGAATTCGGCATTAAAGTCACTCATATGTTTGTGTTTTTTTTTTTTTTTTTGAAACTACAAATATCTCGTACCAATTGTGTATAATAGGTGTACTTATATATTATTATATACCTACTGCCGTGAATAATTAAAAAAAAAAAAATATGCGCTGAATAAAAACGAACAGATATTTGAATAATTAACAGAAAAAAAAAAACACGTGCTTATTTGCGGGAGACTCGCCAAGAACGCAACGGAACTCGAACGGTGTCCGGCGATAACGGTTTTAATGTATTCAAAAAACTAACCGTCCGATAAACCGAGCAGCTGCTGTACGGTGTGCGGATCTACAGAACTTTTGACGCCCGGGGACAGCGAAAAAAGCAGCGTACTGGATGTGTTTTTAAAAGTAATAAAAATTAATTTTTATTACGACCGTTTACGAAGGAAAAATTCGACAGGAGTTCGCCGGCGGCGCGGCGTTCTCCGCGAGCTTTTGTTTTCAAAGCAACGAAAAATAATTGTTTTGGTGTAATAATTTATTCGGAAATTCGGCCGGTGCCCTGTTTACGCGAGGGTATTCGTCCTGGGCCCGTGCGGATGCCCGCCGCCTACCGGATTTAATTGCTCTTTCGATTCGGAGCCACCCCCCCTCCCTTTAAATCTGGAGAACGCCGAAAAATGTGTACTACGCCGCAGTCATAAATACTTGTTGAACTTGTTTAAATTATGTTTCTCACTGTCGTATAAAATGTAGGTGTGTGTATGTAATATTATGTCTAAGTGGTACATTCGGCTTGCCCGAATGGATAACGGAGATTTTGCTGGATCGCGTTTTTCATTTCGTTGGACCACAGCAATACGTCACCGCACTTTTGAATGTCGGTACGCGTATCGCGATAAATCGATTGTAATCGGAATACCGAAAAAACATACGACTCGAACCCCGTCATTCACGGACCGATAACGAACCACGATTATGATAAAATGTAGTAGACAATAAAATCTAAAAAAAATACAAATACATCGCGCTACATACGAATAACCGTGTTTTAACGGGCTACAAAAAAAAAACACCCTCGTCGAGGCTATTAACTTAATTTGTTCGTAAAAGTTCCTACGGACCTACGGATCGCCCTTCGACACGCCCTCCCCCCACGTGAATTTGCGACACCCCTTCGCCGGGGGTGACGGTCCGAAATTAACGCCGGTCGCTCCGGCACGGACTTCAAAACTGAAAACCGCGAGATTACGAATTCTCGGAAACGGACGACGTTTCTCGGCGACGACGCGTTTTCGCCGGGAAAACGTCGACGGTCGCTAATGTCCGACAATCCGTTTCGCCGGATCCGGGGCGCGAATCGTAGATGCGGTTTCACCGTATTTTGTTTATTTTTTTTTTCCTTTTTGTTCTTCATCTCCGCCGCTTTTTCGCCGAGTCGGACCGCGAAAATCGCCCCGAGAATACGGGCTCCGGACGCGCGGTGATTTCTGCCCGCGGCGGCAACGGCAATAACAATAATAATAACATAATTCCCGTCGCCGTTGTCGCTTGTAAATCACGTATATTGCCGCGATACGATCCGAACGTCGTGTTCGTGCCGTCGCGCGAAACGAGAGATCCGCACAACAGCGTACGTAATAATAATAATAATAATAATAATAATATTATTATTATTATCGTTATTATTGTTATTATTATTACGCGGAGTGCATTCGGCCGTCGTAAATTCGATCGAAATCCTGCGCGCGGGCTCGCAGGTATCCCGCGCCCGCCCGCCCGCCCGCCCGCCGCGCGCCCGTATCGCGCGGCGGCCATAACCGTCTCGGGAAACGTCCGGAACGCGCGAAACCCCGGCGACGAGGACGATAAGGACGAATATTATCGTTGCCGCCGTCGTTATTATTATTGTTTTACGGCGCGGGTACGCGTCGGGGCTCGGCCGCGATAACCGCCGCGATGCCGCGCGGCAGTCCGCGGCCCGTCGCGCGGCACGCGCCGCTCTGTTCTCGCGGCCGGCGGGACGTGTGAGAAGCGCGCGTGCAATTCTTTTCGCGCGAAAACCGTACACGGTGTTCGTAACGCCGTACGCGGGTCGGATGTGTTTCCGCCGTCGCCCAACAACAACGACGACGACGACGACGGCCGAGTGTGGGCGGACAGAAAATGTACGTGAAAACCGTTACGGGGACGGGGGAGGAAAGTCGAAAATAATCACAACGGATATCTACGAAAATAAAATCTACGGGCGGACCGGACGTAAAATAATCGATACGATAATAACAATACATTAATAATAATATACAAACTGTTATAAAAACGGTATGAAAAAAAAAAAAACAAAAAAAAAAATCAAAGGGCATCGACATATTACGCGAAATATTATAATATAGGTAATGTGAGATAGGTATAATAGTGTTATGAGTTTTTTTTTTTTTTTAATTTTACTTAAAAAAAATGTCGGTTATTCAGTACCGTTGAGATCACACGTCGGTCCCGCATCCTTCCTGGTATCCCTCGTCCGGCGACCCCTTGTTCAGGGCTCTCTTGAGTGCGCTCAGCGGCGGCATCACTTGCACCCCGTGTTTCCACACCCTGAGACTAGCCGCTTTCGGATCCGTGACCGTCGCGGCCGTCGTCGTCGCCATCGAGTCTCTGGACGCAAGCGCGGCCTGCGGCACCGCCGCGCCGGGCAGTGGCGGCAGCGGCGGCGACTTTTCGATGATCGGCGTCCGGTCGTTGGCCGCCACGTCCGACTGTGCCCAGAAACCGGGCGAGTACAACGACTCGTCGGCCGTCCTCCGGTACTCGCCGCTGCCCGACCTCCTGGTCTGCGGATGATGATGGTTCGCCTGGGCGGCGACGGCGGCGGCTGGGGAGTTGGCCGCCGGCGTCTGTTCCGTTGCGTCTGCTATCAGGTCCGGGTTGGACGGTTGGCTCCGGTACAGTACGGTGCGGCCCACGTCCAGTGCGTTACTGTTGCCGAACCCGCCCTCGTAGTGATGGTCCGCGGCGAACGCCAGTTCGGTGAGCTTGGGCCTCCTACAGCCTCCGCCGCTCACGGTCTCTCCGGCCGACGACGGCAACACCGGTTCCATTAGCGGCACCGGGTTGAACATTGCGCCACCGCGGTAACCGCCCGCGGTCGGGCTCGTCGAAGCCGTGACCACGGTGGCGGTAGTAACCGGCTGTTTCACCTGGACCACGACCGCGGTACCGTTGCTGGTGGCGGACGCGGCCGTGGTCATGAGCTGATGCGGCTTACCGTCCGGCCGGGTGGACGTCGGCGGTAGTCTTTTGATCCGGACCAACAGGTATACGATCACCAACAGTATGGTGATGATGAGGAACACCAGGAACACGCTCAGGCTGGCCACCTGGCGGTTGGCCAAGAACGCCAGTCCGCCCAGACGGGTGACGACCAACGTGAAGTTGGCCTCTGCGCGGCCGGCCCGGTTTTCGGCCACGCACAGAAACTGCCCGGAATCCGATGGCTGGACGTTGGTTAACAGCAGCGAGCTGTGGCCGCTGCCGGTCCGGTCGTCGGTCATGAACACCCGCTGGAAGGGCCCGAACGCCGTGTTATTGGCGAGGGCCCGGCCGTTCCAGTACCACGAAACTTTTGCGGCGGGCGAAGAATGAACGCGGCACGAGACGGACGCGTTGTCGCCGGTGGCCGCCTCCACGGTGGGATCGTCCTGCTGGATATCCGGTCGACACGCAAAGTCGTCGGCGGTCAGGGTGGAAAACGTCCGGTTGGCGACTCTGCCGGGCCCGGTGGCGCACAGCGGGTCCACTGCCGTCGGTATGTTGTTCTTGATCAACCACATTTTCACGGGGCGCATGGTGCAGTCGCAGTGCCACGGGTTCTCGTGCAATTCGACGCCGTGCACCTTGTTCAACGACTGCATCGTGCCGGCCAACAATCCGGTCAGCCGGTTTTTCGCCAACTTGAGCGTCTCCAGCCGATCGATGCCGACGAACGCCGTGGCGGCGACGGCGTGCAGCTCACACCCGGACATGTCCAACTGGACCAGCCCGGCGCAGTTGCGGAACGCGTCCGGTTCGATTTTCTGTATAGGGTTGTTGGCCAACGACAAGTCCCGGAGCAGCGGGACGTCGGAAAACGTGGCCGACGGCACGGCCGTGAGTAAATTGTTGGACAGATCGATCTCGATCACGTTCGTCAGACCCCGCAGCGCCCGGCTGTCGATCTGCCCGATCCGGCACTTGGTCAGGTACACGCGCTGCAGATTGAGCAAGCCGAACCGGTAGAACGCCTCCGCCGGCAGTATCTGCAAATTGCTGCCGGATATATCCAGCACCTGCGTGGCGCTGTCTATGCCCTGGGGCACCGTGATCAGATTTTGGCTCTTGCAGTCGACGCTCTGTTTTCCGCTTTTCCATTTACACACGCACGGCACCGGGCACGTTTCGGCCCGCGCCGCCGTCACGGCCAGCACCGTCACTACGGCGAACAAGCACCACCACCACAAACGCGCATCACCGACTGTCGTGGCTACCGACCACCGGGACATCACTGCGGTCAACCGGGCGGTGATCACGCGGCGCCCATCGTCCTCACGCACTGTGGTCACCGAACGATAATGACGACCGCATCGCCGTCATGTCGCGGCCGTCGCGGTAGGTGTCGGCGGTCGCGCGGGCGACGCGTTTACGACCGCCGCGGAGCGGACGCCGGCTGCCGCGTGCCGCGACGCGCATCGAAAAGAACACACACACGCGAACAGTCGTAGAAAAAAAAATCGCGCGCTCGCGAACGGAAATGTTTAATAACAATAAAATTAACAACGATCGACGGGTAACAAACACCGACAACGAATAATTATCACATCGACGTACCGCGACTGTTCTCGAATAATACCGATGTACCGACCCGAGCGCGCGCGCTAAAACGTCTCCGGAAAAAAAGTAATTGATAATAGCTCGGAATATCGGCTACTCGGACGAGACCGTAACACGAACGACACGCACACGTATACGGCGGCAACTGCGCGTAATCCTAACGGTGTCCGGCGGTCGACTGGCACGGCCAACCGACGGGGAAAAGGACGTCTGTCGGAGCGGTCGGTCGGTAGGTAGGGCGGCGGCGGCGGCGACGGGACCGTGCGTACGCGCGCCGCGCAGCGCTATCGGGCGGCCGACCGTTCAACCAGCGGCGGTGAGTCCGCGTCCCCTTGTTCGGCGCGGAACCCTTCGTCGTCACCGCAGCACCGCCGGGCGCGCTCCGTGCCCGACGGTTCCCGCAAAAATGTCCCGGCTGAATAACTGACCGCGTCCGGTAAAGAAAAATTTAGTAGAGATAAAAGTCACGTGACGTAATACTTGCTGTGTTATCGAAAATTAAAAAATTACAAAAAGGATAATATCGAATTTAACGGTCCGGTACAAAACACGCGGACGGTGGCGGTTAAACGAATGTCGAATTCCGGGCGAATGGCAAAATTAACTGCGATATTGAATATTCTAACATCTGTAACAGTGCTACTCTACTACTACATACAAGCAGAACGTATTATGGTGGGAATTTACGATTTTTCCAACGAGTGTGAAATTGAAAATGTACTTACTGTACGTAAGTATAACGTGTACAAAAAAAAGAAAAAAAAGAACAACGATCGACTTTTAATTTGTATATTTATGTAATTTACAATATTCAATCTGCCATAAAATTATCATTGAAATCGAACAATTAGGCAGGTAAAACTGCAGGTAATTATTGATTTATCCACCAGGCAGTAATATAACCTCTTTCGTAATACTGCGGTGGATTCGTTTTAAACGAAAATCCATACGTCGCTCAGAATCTAAAATATATCAGTTCGTATTATTTTTTTTCTGATATTTAGTACGTTAGCTGAATAATTGGTACCATCGAGCTTAATTTACGATTTTTCTCACAAAAACGTTAAGACTTATACGAATCGAAAAAACAAACGGACATACTCTGCACGACGGGTGGGCCACTGTTTTGGTTATACATGATTTGAAAACAATAAATTTCGTACATTTTCTCGTTTTTCGTACGTTTATTTCCTATTTAATAAGGAAACTATCGTGAGAATAATGACCTCCCTAAAGTAATACCTAACGAAAATTTCTTTTCGGAAAAAGTACTACGCTTGAAAATCGAAGTAAAATTTCTGGTAGAAAAGTTGTTCATAGTAGAAAAATCATAAAAATCATTGTAACACCAATACATTCCTCGCTCCGCTCAGAATCTAAAATAGCCAGTCTTGCAATATTAATAATTAATAGATACTGACAACAAAAAAAAAAAAAAAAAAAAAAACATCAAACGGGAAGTGTATCTAATGTCTCCAACGTGTCCCCTCCCCCCTCCCCCCCCTCCAATACGCCACCGACTCACGCCCAAACAACGCATTGTGTATATTGTAATAAAATCGTCGTAGTCTTCAGACTCGACTATTTCAACAGTAAACTTAGTAGTTTTATTAAAAAAACAACTAATTGTTATAAATGTATATTTATGCGTTTTGCACGATTTCAACTAAATGAATAGCAAAAAGAAAACGGGAATAGGTCTTCTGGCCGTTATTTGAACGTGGACGATGCGGTGCGAGTGTCGTAAACAGGAGGAGAGGGGGGAGAGGAATCGGCCAAATCAATAATAAAACAGTTTGTCATTTTAGTAAATTACCCGTTTTGATAATAAATTTCCGAAACGATCGCTACGACATTGATTTCGATTGACGATCGGCAGTTTTAAATATTTTCTGTATACCTATACACAATATGTGATCATTATCGTAATATTATGGATATCCGTAAGCAAATCGTTTGACCCCGTCGTACTTCCACTCGTGGACTATAATGTATCAGCGTTGACGCCGTATTGTTGTACACGATTAATGGGAAAACAGAAGGGGCGTTTAGGGAGAGACTTTGCATCGAGCCCTGTATCGCGTCCTTAGAACACGGCTACTGAAATGCAGTAAATGTCCAATCACCCGCAATGACAAGGACCTCACAGAAGTAAACCAGAACGCTATAGATATGGCCCAGTACTGGTCAAGTGACTTACGACTAGGGTTGAATTTGTGGGAAAGTGTATTTTTTTTTTTTTTTTCGTTGATTTGTAAACGTAGCTTTGTAAGTACACAGTTTAAACTATTTATTACAACCAATGCAAGTTTTATGAAACTTCTATTGGGAATTTTTTTTTGTGATATGATTCGGTACAGTGTGGCGCGTGACGTTATTATCGCGCCTGATAACAATATCATCCATCACGGTGAGTCCGTCGGCGGGACAAATACCGTCCGGACGGAACCCGGAGGTCCCCGACAGTTGCGCGGCGTAGGACTTGGGCGCGCCGGGTTTTCGTCGGACATTCACGGCACATTTGCGTCCGCGCGCAATCAAATGCCGTTTGCAATGACAACGGCAGTGATATTATTACGGGCGATCGTTTCCGGTCCCCGCGCGGACCGATCGGCCGCGAACAACGGCGTGGTGACAACGCGGCCGCCGCCCCCCCCTCCCCCGGGGACAGATTGACCGACCGCGTCGGGATCCGAAAATGACGTCCGCGACGGGGACGCGCGCGCGAGCGATCGAAAACTGCCGCGACGCCGCCGCCGTCGTGCGTTTGACCGTCGGGTCTTAACGTTGGCCGTTAAAACGGAATCGCCGAGCCCGAGGGCGGCCCGCGCGACAGAACGGCACTGCGGCGCCGGCGATCGCAGTGTGTTGCGTCCGGGGGTTTCGATAGGCGCGCACGCAGAACATGTTTCCGCCGGGGCTGTGCGGCCGTCAAACCGCTGCGTGCACGGGGCGACGTCCGTTATCTCGGAAAGTATTGCCATTTTTCGAAATGTTTTTTTTTTGTTTTTGAAAACGCAAGAACCAAACAGTTCTGAAATGTTGCGATATCGTATTTTTTTTTTCGCGCCCCTTATTTTCGGCGGCGAAATGACCGCCCGCTTTTGGTTTTTAAACGGCCACCTGTTTTTGAAAACGCCTTAAACAGACGGAGTGTTGTTTGAAATAAATTTCGGTGGTGAAATGTTTGATTTCCGTCCGACGAGATATTCCACTTTTAAGATCGGGTCGGAGGATAGTAGTGGTGCATTATTAATGCGCCGCGCGCCGTACCGCCACACAAACGATACTCCAATTTTCGAGGTAATGAGCGTTTTCAGTCGGGTGAATCGCCCTGTATATTAATACCTTGTAAATAATAAGCCATTATTAGCCTACGAGAGGTCTCGATTAAATACACGAATTAATGCGTACGCGAACAACTGAAGTCCGTGTACACGAGAACGAAAAACGTGTGTTCGCGTATATACGCGCGTTGACGTGTTTTACTCTCTTTCATGCGCGTAAATGCGTAAAAAGCGTGGATACGCCAGTGCTTCATTTTGCACGTGTACGCGTTTTTATACGTAATCGCGAGAAATTTCCATTCGAATCTATAAATACCGCGTACTTAAAAATCCGTGTACACGAACACTCGCGTATTTCGCGTTATTTTTCGAGTATTTAAACTGCGTATTCGCGTGAATAACACTAGAACTCACGGAAGCACGAATAGTAAATTCACGTGTATTATTACTAATTACACGTGAGTGTACAGTTTTCGTTCGTTTGTATGCAGACTCCGTTTTCACTTGCTTGTTAATTCGCGTTTTTAATAAAGACCTGCTGAGTTTAGGCGTATACGGATTTCTTTTTTATAAATATACGGTTTTATAGATTTTAATTTTGATTTTGCGCGAATGCGTGAAAGCGTGTACACGCGAAATAAGAAGCTCTTGTTTGTATACCTAACGTGTTTTAAACTAAACCAATCGGGTCCAGACCGGAACGATAGGATCCCGTAAAGATCCAGGAGAAAAATATTTACGGAAAAAAATAAAAAAACCGCCATCGTCATGTCCGGAAGCCGTTTTGTATAATATCGCAGTTAACCGATTGTATTGTAGCGGGTAGATACGATGGCGAAACTTGTGTTTTCTGATCGAAACGCTGTCGTTTTTGCGATGTCCCTGACGCCATCTGTACGAAATGTGTGACAACTATACACTATATTTACTATAGTATAAAATAATTACTCCTAAATAAAATCCCTAATTAAGATGTTAGTTCTTATTAATTTGTGCAAAGTGTTTTAGTTTTAGTTTTTTTTTTTTTTTTAGTTTTAAGTATTTATTTTGTGTTCTTTACATCTCTTTGTATTGCATTTTACAATTCTTTCTCTTTTTCGATTTATTCAAATTTTTAATTTAATTTTAATTTTGCTTAATAACTCTCTACTCAGTCACCAAGCCTAGGCTTAAATATTGTATTCTTTACTCTCCTTATTGTGTTTACTATTATATGAATGATAATATTATTATTATTACAAACCATAATAATATGAATCTGCGAAAAACGGATTGGGTCTTCTTACAGGCCCAGGAAAATGTGTATATAGCGGCTCACTATCATGCCCGTATTTAAGGGGAGCAAGAGTTTGTAGCAAAAGTTTATGGTTTTCCAAAGATAATTTTTTTTTCTATGGACAATTTTTCTACTCGAGAACTTGCTCCAATTTTTACTTGTAGCATCTTTTTTAAAAGGCAATCGGTGTGGAGAGGTACATTAAACAGGTCAATTTTCGATTTTCTGAAGAGTTTTCTCAACAAATGTGAAAAACCAGAAAAAACATGAAAATAACGGGATAATCGGTAAAATATTAAACAAATATTATTAAAGAAAACATATAATTCCTATTTAATTACTCTGCCATAATATAACACATATATTGTTGACGAAGCATCACTATCAACTGAACTGCGCTCAGAATCGTTTATTTGTTAGCAATGGTTTATCGTTGCTTATAGGTACTCATTAAATTACCTATAACAGTGGCTGCAACCGTCCGCATTATTCTAGGATGTCTTATATTTTTTGAATTTCTTATATTTATTAAAAAAGTAATATTCACAATTATTTTGGAAATAATGAAAAACTTTCGAGACACCAGTTTTTAATAAAATGTACATTGGTTTTTTATTTTGGTAATTCAGTAAGAAAAAACAATCGTAGAGGCCTAATAATACGATTTTTATTAATAATAGTGATATGAATACTTTCTGGGCATAATATAGTTTTAAAAATGTTTTAAGCTTTTAAAGTTATCTTTGTAACTTATTCGAGTGTTTTTCGATCAATTACCAGATCGAATTTTATTTCGAAAAATAAGAAAATTCTAAAATTCGATACAAAGTTCTTCGTAAGAAACAAAGTTTAGCATAATGCCACATATTTTTTCCTCCTAAAGATTTTGAACACAGTTCATTAAAAAAGCGAATAGTTGTAAATTGTTTTTTTTTTTTTTTTTGTAACCCACTCTGCACCAACTGGTGGCAATATACTTTGCTGCCAATGTCTGGTGGTGTTCACTTTGCGCCAGTGGGTTTTGCGCCCATTACCTTTTGCATGCGTTTTGCGCCCATTATCGAAATCTTTATAAATCTTAATAAACCAAATTTAAACCAAAATCGTAAAAGTAGTTCGGTAATACATGTGTAACTTAAAATGCCGTAATTTGTTTCGCAATTTTTGTTTGAATTTGATTTTAAAACGAAGTCGTCCGATGGTTTTTGAAATTTCACCTCGTCTAGGTAAGTCCAGTATAAGTATAATTACCAAGTTTCTAGTCTTTACGTGTATTTATAATCGAATTACAGCAAAAACTCCCGAAAATTAAAATTCCTTAAATGCTCAAAAGTGGTTCAAAAGTTTTGGATAAAATATATGTCCGTTTCATGAAATAAAATTTGACTTACACGTTATGATCGTAGTTCATGAAATAAACATCCATTTCATTAAAAATACGATTACACTACGTGGATACGACAGATATATACCCGTTATAATATTAAATATTAGTTTTAACGCGATATTCGTAAATTTCAGCGGTTCAGTTTTTGATGCGCGGTGAAAAATTTATGGATTTTAGTCAGGACCGGATCAAGTCTAAGAATAAATAGGCCTTAAGCACACTTTCTGATTCTGAGTGGAGCGAAGAAGCTTATGGTTTTACATGGTTTATTTTATTTTTTTTTATCTGTTAACAACTTTTCTACCAGAAGACTTACTCGGATTTTTGAGTGTAGCACCTTTTCTGAAAGGAAATCTGACTGGGGAGGTACATTAGGGAAGTAGTGTTTTAATTTTCCATAAATTATAATATAACAATATCTACCTTGACGATTTACCAAGTTTCGCTCATAATCGTTTTTTTTTTTTTTTGTAACAATATTTTTTCTTTCCTCTCAAAAACTAATTGGCCCTACATTCCGAATTTACTATGATCCAGGGATGCGCTACAAGACCAATCTCATTACCGCCCTGGGCACCGACCTTTTGGATCTATATCGAACGAACCACCCACCCATCTGCAACAGTGGCGCATCTGCCATGCGGATAATGTAGTTGGTTTTGTATTGTTTTTTTTTTTATTATTATTCGTTTATGCTACAGTCGACAGATAAATTCAAAAAAGGTTATAAAATAAAAAATAAATAAATTACATTGCCAATTATTGAGCTCCGTCTATATTCGATGTTTGGATGGACAGAATAGTACGCATTGACGTTTATAGGTACCTGCTACTTAATACGTTTTTTTTTTTTTTTTTTTACTAGACGATTTCGACCAATAATTGATTAGGCATTATTATTGTTATTATTATTATTTTTATTACCTTCTGTCGAACCATTCGCGCTCTAGTACGTGTCAAAATAGAGTAGGTAAGTAAGGGTAGGTGTATGTGTATTATTTCGACTGTTTTCAAAGTTAATTTATTATTAAAATACGAAAATAAATAAAAAATGAGCGTTTTTATTCGAAAACCACACTGCAGTACGACGAGAGTATCATATAATACAGTATATATGCGCATATATATGTATAACATATTATTATAACACCGCTACTTATTAATATTAAATTCACTTTGCTAATTGAACGACGAAAAAAAAACCACCCGATATAAAAACTTCCCGTATATACCTAACTGTATGTACATTATTATATACATTCTTTATGCCCTTATGTCCTCGTAAATATATATTAAATTAATTTCTACGTACCTATGTATTAATATTATGTTTGGCGTTTTGCATTCGTATAATTAAATACAAACAGTTTACGGGAAAATGTGACGAGGCCGTTTGGATTTTTACCTTAAAAATCCAATATATTATGCATCGTAACACGTATGTTTGATATACTTTAATACATAGGTTTTTACACAAACAAAAAAAAAAAAAAAACGTAGGTATTATGAATATTGTTCTACATTTCCCGGTGACAATTTTATTATATTGTGTGTACATACGTTCGGAGTACCTACTGTTTTCATAATATATAACTACCTATACCAATTAAATTTTATGACGACATACGGCATAATAATATTAAAAAATGATCCTATACATATTTATAATATTGCGATGTTTATGTCAAATCGTCACGAACGATAAACTTGTTCATAATATATAAATAATTATGCTAATAATATACTGAATATATAATACACAAAGATTAGGTATACGTATGTGGATAAACATAGGTTGCGATCTCAGGTTCAATATTCGGCTTATACGGTTTTTATTTTATTTATTTATGGACCCTGAGCGAAGCGAGGGACACATGTTGTAGTTTATGGATCAAAATTTCTGAAAAAAAGATTCTTTTCTGGGAAAATTAGGAAATTTTGGTGCAAGCTTTGATGTGGAAGTTTATCTCACCTGTGACATAGTTATTTGTTTGTCAATTGATAAGAGATACCTAATAATAAGAAACCTTTTTTTGTTTCATTTTCGTTTCATGTTCGTGATTATTCTAGGGATTTTCGAGCTGTAAATAGGCATTTTGAATTTTCGAGTTTTTTTAATTTTTCTTTGGCAGACACTCAATTACTATGTGGATAAACTTGTCTGACCAAACAGAAATGCTTGAAAATTTACTATGAGGTTTATCAAAAGTTGAACTTTGAATGTAACGTGGTCATTTTTTTTTATAACAATTCTTTAAATATAGATTAAATTTTGATGAAAATCGCAAATATTACGGCCTTTCGAATTATGTAAAAACGAATTTCGCTTAGAATTGTTTTTTCTTTAGAAATAGTTTATCCTTGCTTACAAATATAAGTTCAATGACTTTATGTATCATAGTTTCCTTTTTTCTACATATAATAATAGCGCAAACATCAATAGCATCAGGTCTTTTGGATTTTGAGCATAGAGAAGGATCTATTGATTTCACAATGGTATTTGTTGTACAAAAATCTGTAAACAACTTTTAATCAGAAAGCTTGATTCAATCGAAAAATAACGAGTTTACATTTGTGTTGAGTTTTGGATCACGTTGATAAGAAAGTAACTCATTTTTTTGATTAAACAAGTAATACTTGGAAAAAGACGTAATATAAAAACTAGCTTGTATGGGTTTTTTTTTCTTCGGTCGAAAGACATTATACGCGTGTGTATGAATAATCACAAAACATGTGACTTGGTCAACAAAATTGCATCGATGATCAAACGAATATTATTTCCTATAAATATTGAATTGAATAAAGTCAAATAATATTACTATTAGTAGCTAGGTCACGTAATATTATTTGACAACGTCTATAATAACCTAATAATCCGGTAAATCAATTTCGACATTAGGTCACATTACATTTCAGCACCAGAATCGATAAATATTTGTTTTCTATTGCCTGTATTGGATATACCTAGCGCATACAGTGTGTTTAACTTGAATGCTAGTATGAAATATTTTAGCCAGAGGAACTTACATTGAAATACAGAACTTTTTTTATAGTCATAACGAAAATGGGGGGATTTTATAACTTCTTTGTAACATTTTAACTGTAACACAAGGTTGTGGGGATTGTTAGCATATTCAAGATTCATAATATCCTCACTCTTCGTGCCCCAGTCAGAATAGGGGGGCCAATTATGTTTCACCCAAGATGTATAATGTTAAGCCTCGTGCCATTACATAACCCTGGTGCATTTATATTTCATAAAAGCATTATCGGAATGCCTAATTTTAATTAAAGATTATGTGACGGCAAGCCTGAAGACTCTAGTGAATTCAGAAACTCTACAAGATGTTTAGTGGTCTGTTCTAGGTCCATGATTGTATCTTCTGACAAACACTCTGTAAGTTTTCCTAGAACAACTTAAAAAATATTTACGTTAATATTATTGACGATATTATTTTTGATAAATAATTTTCGGATACAAGAATCACTCCTTGACATAACCACTGTCATTGCTCTGTAGTTTGGGGTAAATTCTAGCAACTAATAAGGTGTCATTCTGTACTAAATAACAAAAACCTTCATTTAATTGAACACTACACTTGGTATCCGTAAATAACTGTACACTTCATATTTTGAACAGAATATCTGCATAATGGCCTTTATTTATATATTATTGTAAAGGTGCACTTTCATATTTTTCGTTAAACTGAATTTGTTCATATCTTTCAATAGGATTAACAACATATAGGCTCTATTTCATCTGTAGGTGTGCGTCGATCACCGGTAGAGTTTGCCGGAAATCACTAGTCAATATCACAACAATCTCTCCACAATAATCACAATAATCTCATAATATCCGTGTTACTGCATAATATTTCTTGAAGAGTTTGATTTTGGGCATCAATTACCATTTTTTGGTGTCATTGTATTTTAGCTCACACTTAAAGAACACAAAAGCGCAGTATCTTACCCCGAGCACTATTTTCCGATTTTCCACAGAAATAAGCTTGTTTTTCGGGACGAAAAGTGACAGATGCCACTTTCCAATCATCCAATTATCCCTATAAAAACAATTTTTACCGTTACTCCTTATAATATATAACCTTTTGGTATACACTTTTGGTTTTCAAATAGGACTTCCTTATCATTTAATAAACATATTCGAATATATAATATATTTTAAATGTTGAGCCGGAACGAGGAATGTATTACTTTTACGATGATGTTCATTTTTTATTTTCCTGTGAATAATTTTTCTGATTCCAAAATTTCGCTTAGATTATCAAGTGTAGCTCTTTTTTTGAAAGGAAATTTGACCGCAGTGATACTTTATAGAGGTTATTTTCCTCCCAGTAGTTTTTATAATAAATGAAAAAAAAATGTAAGAAAAAAGTGAAAACTTACTAAATGTATTATTTTCAAATCTTAAATATTATAGCCTTTTAAACCATGTTATAACCAAAATCCATTCAGAATCATTTTTCGTTAGCAATGATTAATCGTTGTCTACAGATACACATCCAATTTCACCTCTACCTTACCAACTTCTGACCTACACTAGCGACCTACCCATCGTACGAAGCAAGTTTCTGTATCTACTTAAAAATGTTAATAAGGAGCCTAGCATTAATATATTGAATTGATCATTTATCAGTTGCACCGGATGGTTAAGGATGAATGTCCAATCCATTTTTAAACAAAACCTGTATAACCCTTTTCTACTTTTACGGTCTAAACTCCGGTATTAGTGTTATACCTAGGTATCAATATTTTTAGAAAAATATCCACTATTCGAATCTGTGTTTACTAGTATTCTGAGTTCTTTTTTTAAAAACCAAAAGTATATACTCATTAAAAAATACTAGGAGTATTGGTAAAAATTGAAAATAATCTTAAAATAAAGCCTAAGATTTCTATAAAAAGATTAGAAAAATCAGAAATAAATAAATTCACTTCTAATCCCCCGAGAAAATCATAGATTCACTTTAAATGGATTAACACTGTATAATATAGAAACATAAACATGTATACATATAAAATATTGTGTATAGGTACAATATTTTTATAAATACGGTTAATGCACTTTGGAAATATTGTCTGGGAAGAAGCATTGGGGGGTTTTTTTTATTCCTGTAGTCTTAATAGTTTATAACAATAATAAGCAATAATAATATAATATGATGGAAACATAAACTTTAGAAGGGGGAAAAAACCATAACGTTACTCGGAAAAAGTTATTAAAAGTTATGATCAAAAAATTTCAACGCTTAAAACTCGTGTAGTACTAAAAATAACCATGAGGTTTACAAGGGACGGGGAAGTTTGTGAGTTTATTAAATATAATGTTATAAAAAAAAAATACTGGATGACGTAGGTATACGACAGGCAGCGGCGGTTACGTGAAATTGATTCGACGCAAATTTCACGAACACGCAACCAGAAAAAAATTCCGTCAAATCTATGCATACTTAGATATAATTTATATCATTCTGTTAAATTTGTATGCGTTTTATGATCTGTATATTTTTGCGAGTTGTCCGTAACGAAATTCACCGCATTCGTTGTGTTTTATAGCCCAGAAAAGATATTGCACGTGGTCGTATCAGGTATGTTAGGAGATAACAGTATACTCTCTAAAGCTAACGAAATTTATCTTTATGATTCGAAATTTCTTTGCCGAAAAAATGGCCTCGCAAGTACGAATGGATTTTCGCTGGAAAAATTACAAATTATTTCAATAAGGCATCACCTTTACCTATACACAATAATTATCACAGAACACAATGCCTATCATAGATTAATTTTATTTTAACATCGAAAACAAATGTTTATCAATCAATAATATTTCATTAATCATTATTCATTAGTAGTTAGGCCGCAGATAAATGTATAAAACAACATTAATAATTATTAAGATTAGAAACATAAGTAAATTTCCTTTACAAAGAAACAAAATTTCTTTTTTTCCCCTTTCGCAAAATGTATACTGAAATGTCCCTGAGTGGAGGAAAATTAAAATCGTTTCAAAATCACTGTGTCGTTTTGCCGATGGATTACAATTTTTTTTCGCTTGTTGTGTAGATAATTACATAATAGGTATTAGAATAGGAGCTTTTCACTAAAATGTTTTAAATAAACAAGAAAACTATATCTTAATCGTCTTAACAGTTTTTTAGAAATATATTCTAAATATATATAAAAAAAAAAAATAATAATTATAGACGTGTAGATTTTTATTTTAAATGTTGAGTTATATAGCAAAGAAACTGTTATTTTTATTACTATGCGTTTTTTCGGCAGAAAATACTTTTTCATACATAAGATATGGGTTTTATGGTATTTTATTTTTAATCTAAAAATCAATATAGATTCAAACAGTTTTTATGAACAATTAAAAATAAAACTGACGGTGCGAAGGAAGTTCAGATTTTTTTTTTTTATAATTACATTTCTCAATAAATTGTCAGGGAATTTGATCGGTCAAATACACTCGAATATTATTCCGCATACTGCTTTCTGCAATGTCGGTCATTTTTTTTCCCAACTGGTTTCAAACTTTATGCCAGCCGAATAATATCTGTTCGATTTAAATTTATAATATATTTTTTCATATACTGCGGTACTTTGAGCTGCAGTGAAACCCAATAAAATGGAAATTGCGTTCGAATTAAAAACAAATATTATAATAAAACCGTTTGTTGTAAACAATAATCGTTTGGCGTTCGGCTGTTAAGCGGATATAGGTATCCGGTCGCCCGTAAAAAATGAATAATGTTTGTTCTTTCCCCCCCGGTTTTCTCGTTATAATAATAATAATAATATTATGTATGTATGACTGCTGCTGGTGGTGGTGCTGCTGAAGAAAAACCGACGCGTTCTAAACGTCGCTAAAACGCGGACCCACAAAGTTACGATCTCGAACAAAGTTTGGTCTCGATAGGTTTAACGGTGTAGACGACCATGCTCGTGCTGTTCGGTCCCGTACACTACACATAATATACGGTCGGGCGCGAGAGACACGGAGAGAGAGAGAGAGAGAGAGAGAGAGAGAGAGAGTGCGAGATAGAGAGAGCGAGACGGATGGGAGAATTTGAATTTGATATAATATTATATATTATTATACGTACACTGTATTCCTATCTAAGAGAGTGGATTTCTATATGCATGGGTTTACATTAGACTATATAATACGCGCGAGTCTGAGGCACTTTTGCGACGAATATTTTAGCGTCACACGCGGGTAGACTGTCGGTTTCAGATGCCCGTGTATCGTTTTGTATACATATATATATATATATGTTTGTTTTGTCGCACACTTTACACACACACACACGCACGTACACGCACACGTTACCCGCAAACATTGAATTGTGTACAATATACATATAAATTATTGTAATGGACCGAGCGAACAGACTGCAGCGAATCGTCGTCGTCGCGCAATACTGTAATAATATATTATTTTATACACCTATACATTTTAATACGCGGCCACCGGTGTCCGTAATAATATTATGATTGTCATATAAGGTACCCGTATACGTGTATAATATAGTTAATCCCGATCGCTTTTTTCACCGGCGGGTCGCGACCCAATATTGGGTCGCGTAAGCTTTAAAATTGGTTCGCGAAAAGTAAATTTTACTTATACTGAAAATTAACATTATACGTACTACAAACTGCTAGCTATACATCTAGGTAAAAAAGATTTTAAACTGAAAATGATTTGCGGATGGCATTGTGTAAAATCGAGCCGCGATGGAATTTTTTACGTGAAAATAGTCACACTAATTTTCGCCATTACATATAATAAACATATAATTTGTTATTTATTCAGTTATATAATAATACTTCCACAGCGGTATATTGAGACATTAATTATTTTCAGCTTGTTTTTGTTTGTTTTGCATGGCTAACAAAGGTAACATAGATGATAGGTCGCAAAAAATGTACGGTAAAAAAAAGTGGGTCGCGAGGAAAAAAGGTTGAAGACCATTTCGATAGGCGAAAACGAATACGTTTACCTGCACAACTACTGTTGCCTACTACTGCCCTGGCGGCGGCGACGACGGCGGTTGGTAAGACTCGTTAGAGTGGCCTGGGCGAATATTTCGAAAACTACAATACAGCGTGTGTTTCAAAAGTTTTCATCCGATTACGAATTGATATTGTTCAACCAATATACTAATGGAAATATAAGATAGTCGAGTTTACTTTTAGTAGTGCTGTACTGTAATAACAACTGATAAGTGAACTACCATCAGTTTATTTCAGAATGGCGACTCCTCCACAGAAAGCGTTTTGCGTCCTCCGTTTCAGTCAGTACAAGTCGACAATAATGCTGTTCAACGTGATTTTCAAATAGCTCATGGATGTCAAGCTTCAGCTGCTCAAAGCATTCGACGTTTTCGTATTCAAATGTTTCAATAAATATCGGTTGTTTGTGTGCACAGAAACACTCTGATCTACCTCGTAACTCGTGTGACCTGTGGCGGTCATATTGAACATTTTTAACACCAAACCAATCAAAACTATTGATTATTTCAAGAATATTTTTTCATTTCATTTCACCCTTATATCTTAATTTTTAAAATAAATATACATTTTTAAAGCGGAGGAAGACTTTTGAAACACATTTTATTATTGTTTTTGCAAAGAGGTAGAAGCTGGTGTTAATACGCACGGAAAAAAGTAAATAACCGCTAGGTATACCGGAATAATAGACAACGGTGTGCCGTTGTCGAAAATAATAATAATAACAATATTATTTTCTTGATTTTAGAAATTTAAACGAATTTAGTAGGCAAATGATGGTATTATATGCGTATATATTTTTTCGAAACCGATCACTACATAACATTTTTAATCGCCTAAAAGTAAAAAACGCTTAAATTGCTAAAACGATAGGTATACTGATAAAATATCGCATGGAAGCTGATATTTAATCAACCCTGTGTTATACGCTTGATTAGTAGGTAATTAAGTCATACACTTCTTATCAAACTGTTATCAGTAATAATTGTATTGGTTGGTATCAAACAATTTAATTGTACAATTAAAAAGATGTCCTAGGATAATGGGGTCAGTGGCAGTCACTGTTATAAATAATTTAATGTATGCCTGTAAGCAACAATAAACCATTGCTAACAAAAAAAATGATTCTGATCGATGATCAGTTATATTTAACTATATACAGTTGATAATGTTGCTTTTCAACAATATTTATGTCATATTATGGTAAATTTCAAATTATTCCAGTTCTAAAATTAAAATGGATCTCGATGTTTTCCTACGTTTTTTCCGTTTTTCCTCCGTTTTCTTTTCGGTTTTTCACATTTGTTGAGAAAAATTCGGAGAAAATCGAAAAACGACCTCTCTAAAGTACCCTTATCAAGATTTGTTCAGTCTAGTTAAGTACAAAGACTATTAAGTAGAAAATTCACGATTTTTAAAATCCGATTTTACAAATCCGAACACTATAAAATTGTTTTCCAAAAAAAAAAAAAAAAAAATGTTAATTTAACAAAGTTAGCTTTTTTTCGTTTTCTAAACTTACAATAAATTTCTTATCACAGTATATAAAATCAGATAAACTATAAAATTCAAATAAACGTGTTTATTAATTGAATATATCTATGTATCATTGTTTTAGTTTATTACATTATACATTAATGTTAATTCATTATATATAAATAATTGAATTCTTACAATATAGGAATTCCATTATAAGTGGAACAAGAGAACGTTATGAAATTTATAGCGACTTTACAATCAACACTTTTTAGAGCCGTAAATTATATGCTCAAAAAGTTTAACAACTTTATGTTAGTAATAGTAATTGAACGCAGATGGTACTTTAATACTTTAAAGAAAACTACGAGAACAAAATAATATCATGCGAACGAACGTTTTGAAATTTTGAATTATTATTGCGTTCCGAGTTTCGTACAAAACTGCGTTTGAAAAACAATTTTCAATAATTTATTATTGGATTTAAAATACACACTTGCACTACCTACTATATGTACATAAGTTTGCGAATAACATATAAGCAGTTTTTGGAAAATTCCTTTGCAATTGTAATGCATTTCTAAACGCACCAAAATTTAGAACGTATTTTAAAAAAGACGGACATACTTGCACGTGGGTGGGCCACTATTTGTTGTAGGTAAGTATATGGGAAGGTAGAGGGTAAATTTAACGTATATCTGCACGTAACGTAAAGATCAACTATTTCTAACGAAAATAACGATTCTGAGTGGAGTTTGGTTAATAGTGTTAATTTGTAAACAATATATATGCTATATTATGTTAAAATAATTACATACAAGTATGCATTATATATTTTCTTTAATAATATTCGTTTAATATTGTACCTATTTTCCCATTTTTCTTACGTTTTTTCCAGGTTTTTCCCCATCATGATTTTTTCTATCTATCGAGAAAACTCTTGGGAAAAGCAAAAAGATTAGATTTCCTTTCAGAAAAAGGACCCTTTCACAAAAGACAAAAAAAATTATTGTAAAACCAATAGATTCCTCTTCAGAATCTAAAATAAAAAATGTTATAAATTTCATTTTTATTAAACCTAGCTATTTTAACTGATTATCAAACATACACAAAAAGTATTTGTAGGGGTGAATCGTAAACACTTTGCAGTAAAGTAGTTATTTACCATTATTTGTATACTATGATACACAACTCGCGTATTAAAAAAAAAAAATGATTGGATGGTGGACACTACTCATGTATTGTGAAAAAAATGACGGGACACAACTCGTGTAACCCAAAAACATTTCAGGGACACAATTCCGTACTTGGGACATAACTCGTTTGCAGCCAAAGCGCATTAGTGTCAGGTCACAGTTGTTATGAAACGCATTATAGTATTAATATCAATATATAATAGTATCTACTCGTATGTAAAGAATAAAAAAAATTCCAATTTTTTTTTCACAGAAATCACTATTCCTGTTAGAAACACGGTTCGATTCTTTCATTCAAAACCTCAAAAAATTCGAATTTTCAGACTGGTAGTACTTCATTTGAAACATTTTACGAAAATCCTCACTTTTTGAAATTTGTTTTAAATTTTATAATTGAATGTCGATATTTTCATTTCGAAAGTATCGGCTATCGATAAATCGAATTGAAATTGATTTGCTCATCTCTGGGTATAATATACCTAATTTAAACAAATTAAAATTTAAAAAATTAATTTACATTATTTAATATTGTTAGCCTTATAATATTATTAATGGATTTATACTGATTCGGTCCAAAGTGGTTCACCTTAATTTTTTCGCATGCACGTTTTTGGATGTCTTTTAAAATGTTGAATGCAGTATTGAATTCAGAAAATTTTTCTGGAGGGCTCACGTTTTTTAATTCGTCATTTTTATGTAAAATCTAAAAAGTAAGGAGTATTGTACATTCAACGGTGGATCTAGACAGTTTTTAAAGGGGGGGAGCACATTATTTATATTTTCAGTAAATTAACTATAAATTATATATTAAATTAGTATAAAATATATATAAATAAAAACTTTGGTCCATTGGCAGAGGCACTGCAGATGCCCCTATATCCTCCACCTGGATCCGCCAGTGCGTACATTTAATAAATATTTTTTTTGACAGCTGTATTTCTCAGGGTGGCAAATGAAACCCCTAATTGTCGGACACTGGAGTATGCCTGGATTCAACACTGAGTGTAGGTGTGGTGACAAGCTGAATATATTGTGATCGTGTGTTCTATAGTCTGTTCTCCGCATAAACATAGGCTGTCTGATATTTATACTTACTTATTCTGGATTTAATAAGGGCAAAGCTAGTATCCATTTTAACCACCGTCCTATTTCACTGTTGATGTCTTTGTATTCAATTGATAAACCTATAATATAGTTAGCGCATATATGTCACAAATGACCATCTACATAATAAAACAAAATTGGAAAATTCGAATTTTATTTCTGTACAATTTTCTTAATATTTTGTTTTATCAAGTATTATTAGTAATTACCATAGTTTTGTATATGTCGCCACCGACTTTGAGTCAGATGAAATCTGCATCCAATGGTTCTAATTTGTGGCCATACACATTTAACTCCAACATTAATACCTTCTTCAAGCGTATGCAATTATACATTTATCCGGCTGCAAAAAGTACGATAATGGAATATAATGTCCAATTTTCAAAAACATAATCAGTAAATAGTTGATAAAAATATTTTGGGCAACTATAAAATGTACCATCTACAAATATTTTGTTACTTGAACACAGTAATTTTATTGACACATTTTTCATTTATGCGAATCTAAGAATTTTACACGCGCTTTATTATACAATTTAAAATTTTTGTATAGAATCAATTGATTTTTCCATTCACTAACAATAACTTCAAAATTAATTTTTACACGGTGTAACATAAAATGCACACAATATTAAAACCGTTACTAAATAAATAAATATATATATATATTTATGTATATTATATATTATAATATTGTCTATATTGCCCGATTGGTCTATATTTATATATGATTCGAAATGTCTGCAGTACAATTTGCTGTGCATATAAATTTCTTCTGTAGTTTATTGAACACAATTCAGTGTTGTACAAATGACCGGCAGAGCTGATAGCTGACGGAATCGGTAAGTACAAATGTCCGGCGGTATTGATATTAAAACGGCGGAATCGATAAAACCCCGTCTGAGACATTTATCGATCCCCGTTTCTTTGAATTATCTCTCGTTCGTCCTATTCCAGTTCTGAGTCGGTTTAATGTATTGTAAATCAGTCATGCTTGATTATGACTCAATGGAAGCTTGACACACCCCTGGAGGTATCGGTTATCTGATTTCTTTGTCTGGTCAGTAGTCTTTCTTTCAATACTTCGAGGGATGTTAATAGTGCAAAATTCAACTAACGCGTTTTTTCTAAACACAGAACATCGATCTATACAGAGTGATCAACATAACGTAAGACACTCATTATTTCGGAAAGTTATAACTTTTTTTCGAAATTATTTTTAGAATATTTAAGATATAAGTAGCCCTAAAATGTTATATTTACCTTTTTTTAAATGATTTTCAAACAGAAATCTATATTCAAATATCCATAAGTAGACGGAATATGAATTTAAATCTATTTTGTTATTGACATTTTAGATTCTGAGTGGAGCGAAGAAGCTTATAGTTTTACAAAAATATCTATTTTTTTTTCTTGCTATAGACAAGTTTTCTACCAGAAATCTCACTTCTTCAATTCTTAAGTATAGTACATTTTCTGAAAGGAAATCGGACTAGGAAGGAACTTTAAGAGAGTCATTTTTTGATTTTTCAGGAGTTTTATCAAAAAATGTCTGAAAAACAGAAAATATACGAAATGTAGGTATTAGTAAAAAAATATTATGTTCTTTTTTTCTGTGTACAACTTTTTTCCCAGCAATTTCGCTTTGATATACAATGATATTACTTTTTCTTAAAGGAAATATGACTGGGGAAGTACTTTAAAGAGGTCATTTTTCGATTTTCTCAAGATTTTTACCAAAAAATTAGAAAAACCCGGAAGAAAAAACGGAGAAAATACAGGAAAAACGGGAAAATAGGCACGATAGGTTAGGTTTGGTACGATATTACAGAAATATTTTTAAGCAAAAAAAATGCCTATTATTATTTTACCATTAAAATACATATATACAATATTATATATTATATTATGGCATAAATATTGTTGACAAAACACTATCAATTGATCTACACTCAGAAACATTAATTCGTAGACAATGGTTTTTCGCTGCTTACAGGTGTACATTAAATTTCTCCTCTACTACCGTCCCAACTTTTTACCTACAACAGTGACTGCGCACACGTGCGAAGTTGCCCAGCTTTTTAATTTCCATCTACTCGCGGTTTTAAGTATAACGTTGTATCATTTATGTGGTAGCACAGTGCGTGGCGTTTTAATAGTGTTTCACCACTCACCCTCGCCGAAAATTGAAAGAGAAATATCTTGTTAACGGGTGAACGGAAATTTAAAATGTCAACACAAAAATAGATTTCAACTAATACTCCGTATATTTATGGAATTTTCAATATAGACTGTCATTTTAAAATCAAAATAAAATAACGGTTTCAGCCCCTAAAAAAAAAAAATAAGGGCGAAAAAAAGAAAAGTTATGTAACATATTAGAGCTACTAATTTCCTAAATGTTTTTAAAAGTAAATTTTGAAAAAAATTAATAATTTTCGAGATAATGAGTGCCTTGTTTGGTATTTTGTACACCCTGTATACAAATAACGGGAGACAATCGGATTACATTTTTTGGAAGTGAAAAAAGAGAACGCCGTTTTGTCGAGTCGACTGGCTATGTATTTTATGGTACGTCTGGACGGTTTCGGGGGTCGTTTAACACGTGAGAGCGTTTTTCGTATGGCGGTTGACGACGCGCTGCACTGGCGAAAAGGCTTGCCAGTTTTATTGTACGGCGACAGTTGTTTTTCGGAGCAATAAAACAACTCGTTAACGTTACCGACCGAACACGGTATATGTACCTGTAGAATATATCTAACCTATTGTACATAAAATTTAAATCGAAATCACTGGATGGCGTGTATAGTAAAGTAATAAAGTTTTAAATTCTGACGTTTTTAATGTAATAATTTTCGTAACTACTATTTATTTTACGGAAAGACAATTATTTTAAACTAAAACTGAATCTTTATTGTCATTAAATATAATACAATTTCATGAAGATTAAACTTAATAAAATTATTTAACAACAAAACTGAAAAATCATTGGATTTCACGGATTAAACTTACACTGCAAGTAATAATAATATAACATGACTTAGCTAAGTAATGGAACCTTGTTTTCAATATTAATTCAATTTTAGTATAGGTTAAATTTAGGTAGTCATTTTAACGTAAATTATTATCAAAATCTGCAATCTGCTAAAAAGCATCACTATCAACGGAACTCTGCTTAGAATCGTTTTGGTTTGCAATGATTTATCGTTGCTTACAGGAAATGTATAAATACATGAAATTCCCTTCTGTATATTACATTCTCAACTTCTCGCCTACAACAGCGGCTGCATCCGTATGAAAAGTATGGCCGTCTTTCTTTTTTAAAAACAATATTTATTGAAAATAAAACGATCTATTGTTAATTAGTTTACAATATTTATTAAAAACATAATATAAATTTACAAATTTATTTATGCTAGTAAATAGGTTGACAAAGAAAATTAATATAATGTGTGCAATTATAAAAAGACCCCCTATGATAATAGAAACGGGTGCAGATATTGTATAGGTAATTTCATATATATTTGTAAGAAGCGATAAACCATTGATAACGAAAAATCGATTCTGAGAGAATTTCAGTTGTTGATAATCATACTTTAACAATAAATATGTCAATTATGGTAAAATACTGAAATAGGCATTATATACGAGTATATTCTTTAACAACATTTATTTAATATTGTTCCGATTTTCCTGATTTTTCACATTTTCTGGAAAAACTCATAGGAAAATCGAAAAATAACTTCCCTAAAGTACCTTCCCTGTCAGTTATATTTTCAGAAAAAGTGCTATCATCGTAAATTGGAGCCAGATTGCTTGTAAAAAAGTTGTTCTCAGGAAAAAAAAGGCCGAAATATTGTATAACTAATATCTATATTTTGTACATTTTTCTATTTTTTTTTTTTTTTTTTTGGTTTTTCGAATTTGATGAAAAAACTTCTGAGAAAATCGAAAAAGAACCTCTCTAAAGTACTTACGTATAATACATATATCATAATACTCCAGGCGACTCATTAATTCTTTTTTTGTGTTTGTATTAACATTTTTTTTTAATATATTTATTTACTTAAAATAATAATAATATACATTTTCATAAAACCATAAACTTCTTCACTCCACTCATAATCTAAAATTTGTAATTGAAAAATAATTTTAGAAACAAATATATAAATAAAATTCAATCATTGGAATTGATAATGTTTTAGTCACATTAGGTGTATTGTATATGTAATATAATATATTTTATAGTTATATACATACGAGTTTTTATACATCACATATTTTATACTTGTACACTTAGATTAGGGAGTTCATAAAAAATTCCCTAAAGTTCTATTCTTATAATAGATTTCTATTAATTTGGTTATGTATTTACTTTGTAAAATAAAGCAATAGCCTTGTTGTCTGAGACTTGAAGTTCATGACCCAGATTACTCCGTTCTTTTTCTTGGTCTTGGATTGCTCATTACTAGGTTTCAAATAGTTTACGAATGACTCTAGCGTCTCTGGTCTGGCGTCTTTCTCTAGGTGACGCTGGCAAATCTAATGTACATATTTTCTCCTATGATACACACCACGCTGATGAACCATTATTCACCCACCCTGTAATTTCCAATTCATTATTCCTTAGTCTGTGATCGTGACGGTATCGTTCCATTCATTCCATTTATTGTAAATATTCCAACCAAACTACCATATTCTTACATGTCGTGTCTGTTGATTTGTTATATATAAAGGAATACATTGTTATTAAACTATTTAGATTTATACCAATGTGATAAATGTCAGTTGACTCGAAAAACCTGGCATGTTATAAACGTATTACAAATAATGAATTCAAGTAAAAATATTGCACTATATTATAATTAATAATACAAATATTAAACAATAAACATGATGTGTGCGAAATCCATATTAATCTGTGCAATTAGGTATTTAATGTCATGTATAATGCATCAGAAAGGAAAAAAAAATAAACATAGATGTTTTTATTTTTATCTTATATAAAGTATTACATTATCGTTATATTATTTAATTATTTTTCCACACGCTTATCTTTGTAATTATTCCAATTTTCTCTGTAACATAAAGTGTTGTTATCACATAGATATTTTATTGTTCGGTGTTCTATGCACTTTAAATAATAATAACATAGATACTAGAAGAATTGATAAAACACTCCTGTACCAGTTTCATATGGAGCGGTGCGTTCATCTAGAGGAAAGAGGACATAAAGAGAGAAAGACGATATGGAGCCTTTTTAAGGTTATGCGCAAAATCTGTTATACTAAATAATAAAAATATCATGTTAATTGATAGGTTATCAAATAAGTAACTACTAAATACTATTTTATAATATTAACTGTCAATTTGTGCCTGCAAAATTCAAATTACACTAAACGTTGTGTACTTATAAGATTATAATTTGTAATTAATGTTACACGAAATCATGATCTATTATTGTGTTCTGTGTTTTTATTACATTAAATGCACATTAATTATTAAATTATTTAAATTTTTTGTCGATTATTAATTATTTGTATGTATAATTAATATTATTATCATTTATCATAATGATATCAAATTTGCCCTGTATAACATTAAAAAAGTATTACTCAATTTTTGTATGATAAGTTCTTATTCGTTCTTCTATTATTTATGTAAAATATCTAATAAATATACGTGGAGATCTATCTAACCTAAAAAATGCATTATTTCGGAGAATATTAACATGTTGTAGAATTTTTTAGTCGGCAAATTTAAGAAACAATCGGCTATATAATGTTTCATTGCCTTTGTTTTATCCATCCACTTGTTTGGAGATGAAAGTAAAAAATAGTGATTTAAAGTAATATTTCTTTAGGTTTTATTTTCTTCTATTTTGTATTAATAGTTGGGGGAGAATTCAAATCCTGAATCTCCGGTTTTACGCAATTGCAAAACAAAAGTATATAAACAAAAATACTTTATAAAACAACACATGTCGGCTTAATATCAGAAGAACGCATTAACTAAAATAAAAATTAATTTTTAATTTTTTTTTTTCCCAACCAATTTCTAAGATACGTGTATTCAATTAAAGATTAAATAGACGCCCTGGGATAATAAGGACGGATGCAGTCACTGTTATAGGTAGTTTAATGTATACCTGGGGACAACAATAAACCATTGCTTACAAAAGAATATTCTGAGCGGAGTTCAGTTTGTAGTAAAGCTTAGTTAACAATATATATGCCATATAATAGTAAAATAATTATTTTATATATTTATTTACTATATATTTCTTTTAATAATAATTGATAATGTTGTACAGATTTCTTCGGTTTTTCTACGTTTTCCCAGTTTTTCAAATTTGATAAGAAAACTCAGGAGAAAATTAAAAAAGTACCTCTCCAGTGAAAATTCCTTTCTGAAACATTGCTGTCATTTGGAGTTGGAGCGAAATTGCTGGTAGAAAATTTGTCCACAGGAAAAAGAAAGTCTGTAATATTTTTAACTAATATCTATATTTCTTATATTTTCCCGTATTTTTCGGTTTTTCACATTTGTTTAAAAAGCTCCAGAGAAAATCGAAAAATGACCTCTTTAAGGTATATCTTCTAACACTGATTTTATTTCAGTAACGGTGCTACATGTAAAAATCGGATCTCATCCTCTGGTAGAAAAATTGTCCACAGAAAAAAAAACATCTTTGTAAAACCATAGTCTTCTTCGCTCCATTCAGAATCTAAAATATATGCTTTGCCTCTCCCGATAAGTACCTATGACTCTTAAATGACACAACACAGACAGTACAGTTGGAAAAAATTTACCATACAACTTAAACTAATGAATAAGACATTGAAGACATATTTTTAAGCAGTTACACCTGATACGATTTTAATCACCGAATAGCGTGATAAAATAAATTGTTCCTATAATTTATCTATGCAGAAGAAATACTTAAGGTACTATATATATATATATATAATGTACATTTACTGTACCTATTTTAAATTCAATCTATTACTTTATGAAAAATGACTTAATCATATCTTGAATTACGTACCTACGATTGCAAATCACGCTTTTGTTTATCATTTTAAATATGAATATATATTATAAAATATATACTATGTAAAATTTAGTTAAGAACCAATTATCAATAAAATAATAATGAAAACTATAATTAATACGTTTACTGTAAGTTCCACATAACAAAATTAAATAATAATTTTGTAGTTTTAGCATGGAAATATATTACTTATTATTATTAAACCAGTTTTTAAATTTCTAGAGGGTTTTAAGATCGGCTTTGTAAAATTATCGGTAACGGTTTGGTAGCAAATTTTACATTTAGAAAAACCGTTAAATCTCTGATTTTAACAAAAGATGGTGTACATATCATCAAATTAAGATATTAAATAATTTTTAGTGCTCAAAATCCACTGTTAATTTACTTACTTATCCACAAAAAGTCTCCGCTAAGACTATATCTGAAAAAAATGTTTACCTATACATTTTTGGTTTATAATTGATTTACGGTTAAATGTAATCATGCAACTGTAGGCATTTAAATTAATCCATTCATGATATTTAATTGATAATTAATGAATATTTTATGAATTTGATAATTCATGAATTCATGATAAAAATAATAATAATATCAAAATTACATTTTATTCATCAAAATAATACAAATATCTGTAAACTATATTATAAAATAAAATAATGACCCCATTTTTCGATTCACACGACAGGTAGATGTAAAATGGGATGTATACTGATCCTGTCCCACATAAGGACAATTATTGAAGTAAAATGTATAATATTCATCAATAAATTGTGAATTACTTAACGTTTTAAATTACATTTTAAATGTATTATTCTGAATTTCTGATATTTATGAATATAGATATTTACATCATATATTTTCTTCAATTTAATTCGTTTAATACATACCATTTACATTTCTTCTTAAACCCTGCCTTATAAAGTTGTAGGCTCCAACTAAAGCGAATATAAAATACATATATTTTAGTTTTTACTAGGAGATTTATATTTTTTCGATACTAAACTAAGGTAGGTAGTTAATATACCTATCCTGTGAATTTGTTTGTGCATAATGTAAAATAGGCGATACTTACCATCTATATCTGGAAATGTAAAAAAAAAAATCCATAATAGAAAGATTTTTAAATAGTAAACAACGTTGATTCTAAAATACAAATTTTACTAAAACATCATCAGGAATGCGCTTTGGAAATTTGACTAGCGTGTTAAAAACAAAATGTATAAGAATTATTTAAATATTCTCCATAAGGCTACATCTGATTTGCATATAATTAATTTATATATATAAACGGTAAATAATTAATTCTAAAATTAGTTAAATCACGCTCATTGTGATTTGGATGGCGGAATTTTGTGTAGAATGTATATTGTTTTATTATGATAAGTATTTATTTATTATTATTTTTTTTTTTTGTCTATGGGTATATTTTTTATCAGAATTCATTCGTCAATCAAAAAAAAAATTAGAAACCATTTTCGTGGAAATTTGTATCAAGTTGGTGTATTGTAGTATTAATTTTTTTTATTTTCTAAGCGGTTATCTTGATAATTGGGAAAAATCGGAAAACCGTATGGCAAATTTAATTAAATATTTACAGCACACCGCCGGTTTTACCCAAAATACTGTGCGCCTTTCTGTGCCACCACACAAGCGCATAATGTTCGAATAGTGTCCCTAATTAAACTAAAAGGTGAAATATTTCGTCAACGAGTTGATGGAAATTAAAATTGTCAACACCAAAATTTATTTGATTTAATACTCCACCTATGTTTGAATATAAGACCCCATCTGAATTTCATAAATTCTTCCCTACCCCCCCCCTATCTAAAAAATAATTCAATATCAAAAAAATTTGCAATTTTTTAAGAGTAGTAGTATATTGTATTTATCATTTTTTCACTGCATTAATGAGTTAGTATTTAAAAATGGTTTTAATAAAAAATTATATACGTCATCCAATCCAATATTTTAAATGTTAATTTAAATTTTAAATATCTTCTATAGAATGATCAATCATCCAGAGGATGCAAACTATCTTAGAAAATATTATCATTTTTTGTAATTTTCTTCGGAAAATGTATAAAACAAGCAACTTCATGTTATTGTATCAATGTTATTTTTTTATCCATCTTTTTGGTGGTGTCATCAATAAGGTACCACCAACTTTGGATTTTAATAAGGAACCTACATTGAAATTTCCAAAGAAGCATAAAGTTTTAGATTAGACACATTTTTGTGTAGTCATTTTCGATTCTAGTCGACCCATTGTCAAAGTATTCCACTTTTAAATTTGGATATGGGAGAGTAGTGAAACACCATTTATATAGCACATGACGTTTTGTAGATTGATCCCGAAAAAATGTTTACTTTCCGAGATAATGATTGTTTTATTGAAGATTATTTACGCTGAATAGATGTTTACTTGTTATTGTCAGGATTCATAAAACAAATTAATTATTCTAATGTAATTATTTAATTATTTTAGGTAAATACCTACCTTTTATTACGGTATCTATAAAACGAATAATTTATAATTATTTAATATATTTCCATAAAACTACATAAACTTAACGTACAATTTATGTGATAAATTTTTGCTCGATTTTCGTTTAATAAAAATACTAAAGGTTACTGTGATCAGTTATAAACGCCAGAAAGCGTAACATCTGCTAGTAAATGTAAAAACCAACAGCTCATAAAATATATGATTTAACAGGGAACATTGATGTGGTTAGTGTTTGAATATAATATAAACTATAAATTATGGAATTGTTAAATTTATTAATTTATATTTATTCTATTAAATCAGTTTACATGAAAAGTAATAACTACAAATAAATTAAAATTTAAACATTATATTTAACTAATTTGAACAATTTTCTATCTCATTTAATGGGTGTGTAAATTAGATCTTGTTAAGATACTTGCGGTGAAATTTTTCCATGCATTTTAATACGCGATTTTGAATCGTTGGTAGTGCATAATTAAGTGGAAAATAAAAACAAGAACTTAAATCTGTATATATTGAATGTCTAAAAAACGGCAAGAACTGAGCAAAAGGCTGCGACAAATTTGTTGCCGATTTAGAAATTTCGGACATAATAAAAATAACTGTCTATTCATCTGTAGATAGGTAGGTACTCACTACACATTGTTATTTAATGCACGATTTTTAATTGTATATACTTTTGACAAAAATCTACTATGTCCGTTTTCCGAGAAAAAAAAGAAAAAGAAGAATATCTATGATCTGAATGCTATAAACATTTTACTACGAGAAAAACAAGAAAACACACTTATAAAATACAATTATTAAAAATAGTTCCGAATATGTTATTCACTATTCAGCAAATTATTTCTAAAAGTAGATGTAATTAGTTTTTATCAAATATATAATACATACGGGTTGCTTTCGAATATAAATCTGAGAAATTAAAAAATTAAATATAAATTATTAATTTTTTTTATAAAAAGACATAATTAGCTAAAAAATTAAATCATAGATTTTATAATAGCTGAATTTTATTTATTACACTATACATAACTTCACGATAAATTATTAAATGGTGTGTGTATGGCCTAATGATAATGGTATTTTTTAACGTAGACATAATTTATTAACCGGTCAAAACTTGGTACTTTATAATAGGTTTACATTACATTGTTTTCAAGTTTAATGTAAACATTTTATTAAACGGTTCCATAATGTAATTTATTAGCCAGGTTTGGTCCTGGTGTTCTCTGTCTTTTATTGGTCTAGTCAGATCTTTAAAAATCTGGACCGAGCAGAGCTTTACTGCCTGATATAACAACAATTATTTAACTCATTATCGGTAAAATGATTAGTGTAATGAAAGTTAAACTGTTTAGAAAATATTCTCTATTTGAACCTGTTATTAAAACACAAAAATCTGGCGTCTAAAATAATTTTCGGTCTGTTTAATTTATATTTATGTAGGTTTTTTTCAATAAGCAATCAATTTTTAGGCCAATTCGTCAACGTTTGGCGAATAAGCCGCGAAAACACATACACCACACCAAACACACACAAATTGTTGTCAGTATTTTGGTTATACTCAAAGGAACACTGCGACGCACTTTTGTGTGTCCGTCTGGACGGTTAATTTTAATTTTTATGCGTCAAAATATTTTCCATTATATGCATAGAATGCTTAGGCACAATTAAGTGGAGGCTATGGGGAGCTTTGCCACCTCAAATGATATAATGACAAATTAAAAATTAAGAGCCATTTATTGTATTTATTTATTATCGAGAATAATTATGTTGTTAGTATGAAAAACCTATATGATTTATACGGATTCAGTGTTAGATAGCACTTTACTAACTTGTACTGTTTTACAGGATAGGTACTAAATAATTGTGTCGTATAAAAAATACATATTTCTTATGATTTCTTTATTAAATTAAAAAACGTTTAGTCAAATCAATATTTTCAATGGAATGTTCAACATCAGTTTTATTTAATGTTAACAAAAATCCGTTTCACTATCTAAAGTTTCGCTATCTATAGCTGGTATATAATAGTAAACTTATATCATTATTTTAATTATAATTTTAATCTACTACTGAAGCATAGGGAGAAATCCGAGATTTGGTCGAATAACCACGCATGTAATGTATGTGCTGGGGACGATGTCCACACGAACGACTACATTTTTCCACATTAAGGCTGGTTTATTCATTTTAAGGCGTAGGGAAGGTGGCGTCCCCATCGCTCGGTGCATTTGAATAAATACACCGCAATAGCCCTACCCTGACCTTAATTGGTTGGAGTAGTCTGGTCCTCCAGGTTGGGAGTTGAGCGAAGGGCTAACAACTCTTCCTCGGAAAAAAAAATACTGTTACGATACCATCACAAACCAAGCCTTGGACACAGATAAATGGATTAAATACTGGACATGGAAAACGGTCGGCGGAATTAAAGATTGCAACATGGAATACAACAAGCCTTTTTAGAACTGGCGCATACCAGAATTTAGTAGAGACACCAGATGCATACAGTATTGATATAGCTGCTCTACAAGAGATTAGATGGACTGGAATAGGACAAATGAAAGTGAGACATTACATAGTATACTTTTCAGGATTAGCAAATAGACATCATTTTGGTAGTGGCTTCGCAGTACACGAAAAGTTAGAAACATATGTTAAGGAGTTTATCCCAATATCAGAGAGAATGGCATGTCTAAAACTAAACACGACACCAATTAATATTATGTTAGTGTGCGTGCATGCCCCGACAGAAACGAGTGAAGAAGAAGTGAAGGACGAGTTTTATAATAAATTGGATGAAACATGGGATAGCTTACGTGGGAATACCGTCAAAATTATGTTGGGAGACTTAAATGCTAAATGTGTGAGAGAACCATAATATGCCCCGACAATAGGAAAAGAAAGCCTACATGCCATTAGTAATAGAAACGGATTGGATAGGAATAGATGATTGGAGAAACATAATCCATGATCGAGAGAAGTGGCGTGGAGTTGTGATGGCGGCAAAAACTCTTGTAGAGTAGATAAGGCCAGAAAAAGAAGAATAAGAAGAAGAAGAATCTGGTAAACAACAAAATAAAAAGCTATCCTAGGATAATGAGAAGGAGTGCAGCTACTATTTTAGGTAATTTATTAATTATCTGTAAATAACTATTAACCATTATTAACGAAAAACGATTCTGAGCGGAGTTCAGTTGATAGTGATGCTTTGTCAACAACATACATGGGGAGATCTAGTATTCAAGGTATTCATTTTCTTGGAAAGTTTTCATTTTTTTCGATATTTGTTTTTTAAAAAATTTTAGAAACAAGCAGCTCTGTAATTTTAAATTTATGTTATTTTTTTGTCCTCCTTAAAAATCGGAGCAAGATCTCTGAAAGAACGTTGTCCGCAAAATAAAAAAAAAATTTTTGGAAAATCATAAGCTTTTTCGCTTCACTCAGAAAATAAAAGTAGTTTAAAACACTTGCCTCCATTGTTCTGAATACTATACACTGTGAAATAAAAAATAATTAGTGATTAAATCAACGTATATTTTAATGTTAATGTTCAGATGAAATTGATTAGGCGTTTAAAGGTTATTTAATATGTTTTCGGTACATACTTTCTTCCAACTTATCACGAAGTTCTTGTTTAGTTTGGATACCTGAAGAAATCAAAAATAATTATAGAATTGAAAATAAATTATTAAAATTTCATGATTTAAATAATTATATTATTGTGCATCAAAGTTGGTTTTATGTGGGGGGGGATAAGTCCGTGAGCTCTTGACTCTCCAGACTCCAAATTTAGATAACCAAAGGTAGATTTGTATTATAACATTGTTTTTGATTGATAGGTATATTCATGTATACATGTAAATATGTACAATATGTAAATACGTTGAAGTTCGGGAATCAGAGGGTAATGACCGTTCGGTAAGCGCGTCGCCACGCCGCGCGCACAAACGGAAACCGGTTCGTTTACTAATCGTTGCAGTGTGGCGTATATTTACCGAGACACTTTTGTTAAATGAACATTCCATACCATACGCACACACATTCATACACACATATACATACATACATACATAGACATTCGAGACATCATTAAGACAGATCTATACCACATCTATCTACATATGTCTGGTGACTTTAATGTTGTACACATACTATTGCACACACTGCGGGTTGCTCACATAAGTCATCCAGATCTTTTGAGAGCTAACAGGAACGGCCTACTATGAGCGATACTCCTCGGTGTCATCAAGATGTCAAACCAGGCCCAAAAGCGCCGAGCTAACCTCCGTCAAATACAGCCTACGAAGAAAGAGTAAAAACCTACCAAACTCGATGACTTTCCAGCCACATCTAGCAACCCTTTTTTTAAGCTCCATCAACAAGTCCTCCACCCATGATCGTAACCAAAGCCACCTATCCAAAGCCGATCTCAATTACCAACCACAATCTTCAACCACGAACCAACCTCAACCAAAACTCCCACCCATTATTCTCAAATACACCCATGGCGAAAAATGTCTCCTACAATCTACATTAAAATCAGTCTTGAAGTGCTCACCTTGTCGGTTTTACACCTTCGATCTTCCCACCGACCGTGCAACCAATGTCATCATCCGTAGAATACTGATCGGCAAAATAGCGGACGAAGTCCACATTCACCTATCAAGTCATGGGTTCAACGTCACTCTTGTTAAACGCTTTTGTACGACCACTCATCTCATGTCAATGTGCCTCGTAATTTTGAAAAAAATAATTGCTGCCAAAATCTACAAACTATCAAATCTCTTCTACATTAGCGTAAATGTAGAATCTTACGTCAAAACTAGATTATTTCAATGCTTTTTGTGCCAGCGGTTAGGACACGACTCAAAAAACAGCTTCTACCCCTTGAGATGCGTAAAATGTTCCGATAAACATCGTATCAGGACTATCCTAAGTTTTGGGAACAAACTCCTTCTTGTTGCAACTGCAAGGGTAGCCACACTGCAAACTACCACGCCTGTGTATATTATATTCACGTCTCCAATATTATAAAAAATGCAAAACCTACCCCTAATGTCAATAATCAACCACCTTCTGAAAAATCACTCGAACCGGAAGTCCAATAGACATATTCTTCGACAACTACTTTAAAAACACCGTCCTGTGAAACCCAAAACTATCAGTCCTTCCCACGTTCTCAACCTTCTCAAACACCTTCTGGTGTTCATTATTTCCACAGGTAAACCTTAAAGAGACTCTAACCAGTATCTTCAACTCCTTCATAACTCTATTAGCTTTCAATATCTAACCTTCCGATCAAAATAATGTTCTGGAACGCCAACGGTATCAAACACAAACTGCTAGAACTTGAAGCGCTATTTACTTCACAATCTGTTAAGGTTGACATCATACTCATTTGCAAAACAACACTCCATCCAAACACAGCTCTCAAGAAGCAAAATTACATTACCTACCACTCCGAAAATTTACCCACACGAACTAGCTCACCATCATACGGTAGCACGGCATTCATTGTCCACTGACGCATTATCCACAATCCAGTTAACTTTGCCACTTCGCTCTCCTCAATGTCAATAGACATATCAAATAGATCCTACACCATCCGTCTTTCTTCTATTTACAAAAGCCATGGCCTCAATCTCAAACTTGCTAACCTCGAAATTTTTACTAAAGACTGCAATTGGTATTTTGTTGCTAGAGACTTCAATGCCAAATACCCTGCCTGGCATAGCCACTGCTCCAATACTCTTGATAATCGACTACACCGCTTTGCCCTGAATTCTGTTTCCGCAAAAGCCGCACCAGGTTTTTCAACATATTTCTGAGCCATCACCGGTGACAGACCTGACGTCCTCGTCAAAGTTCCTTACCAAATCGTCAACATTTAAAACATAAATTACCTGTCATTTGACCACAATCCGATATTGCTAACTTTCACCGGTTGATCAGTCACTGTCGCTCTACCACTAGCACCCCGCAGAACGAATTGATCGAAACTCACGACCACTTAACCGAGTAATTTCTGGACAAAATCTACCAACCTCTACCCAGGCTAACTTTGATGCAACTCTTGACCTTCTCGTATCCCTTCTAACCTTCTCGTATCATCCATAAAAACATCTCTAACCGAATCGCCATAACAGACCTCTAATCGCCACAATATGTTTGACCTACCAGCTGAAATTTTCAACGATAAAAAAAAGGAAAAATTGCTTCCGCCAAGCATATTAGGTCGATCATTCAAACCCACTGCTAAAACGAATAACGAAAATTTCTTTACTCTATCAGCACCAGCGATGAACACGGCTCGCTATACAAACTCAACAAAAATCTGTTAAACAAACCAACTTCCATCCCCGCTTTCCAGCCAGAGCGTCGCCAATGTCTTCGAAAACCAATTTTTTCCAAACCCAGGTCCTGACTGCCCAGACGTCACCAACAGCATCCAGTCAATCCCAAACACCTCTAGCACCTCTAGCAAATACTAAACCACAACAGGAACAGTCGCCTCGCTAATACAAAAACTTCCGAAGCGTAAATCACCCGACTAAGACACAATTTCCTACGCCGCAATAAAGAAATTTCCCAGATCCACAATCCTACTCCTACCGAGAATCTTCAACGACAGCCTTCAAGCCGGTACTTCCCTCAACAGTGGAAAAAACCATTATCATCATCATTCCAGATCCAGGAAAAGACCACACCCTAAATTTCTCGTATTTTCCCGCTTTTACTTTGTTTTTATCGGTTTTTCATATTTACTGAGAAAAATCTTGGAAAAATCGAAAAATTACCTCCCTATAGTACTCTCTCCTTTAGGAAAAGTGCAACATTTAAAAACTTGAGCAAGTTAGAAAAGTTGCACACAGATAAAAAAAATAATAAAATAAAATCTTTGTAAATCTATAAGCTTCTTCGCTTCACTGAGTATCTAACAATAAATTGGAAAATATTAGAAACCCAAATAAATTTTAAACACTGTGTACGCAGATGACCAAATTATTTTATTTATAACCAAATACTTACCATTTAATCTATATAAGGATAAAAAATCTGTTTAGAATAAAGTTGATTAGTAATTTATAATATTTGATATTATCATAGAGAGCTGAAATTTGCATAGAATACATATTTCAACCTTTTCTAGTCGTGGTTTTATTTTTGATGAAAAATATACTTAACTTACATAAACTTATAGTGATATCTACTTGTTAGACGTGGTAGATAACTCAAGGAGGTGAGGAAATGAGGAGAAGCTGTTTATCTTTGAGAGGATGGTGGTGAAAAACATATATGGACATATAATAAATTAATTAACTGAGACGTCCGTGAAGTTGGCCTCCTCACATTGTACCACAGACTTTAAATCAGTGACAACTTTTTTTTGCATCTGTATGCATGTTCCGGGAAATACTTTGCAACTCATCGTGGAGTCCGTTATAATTAAAATAGTTAGTTATTGGTGCGGCTAAGTTCACGCAGCTTTTTTTACATGATCCTACTGCAGACTTAAAACAAAAAAAAATCTAGTTTATACTTATTGAGCCTGCCATTAATACCCCGGCAAATATTAAAATGATGCCCCTGTAACGATTCTACTTATTATCTACTTCTAAAAGTTAATATTAAAATACATATGTATCTTATACAGTTATACTTATACCACATACCCAACGTAAGTCAAGCCTAAGGCGCAGTGGTAATGACCATACACCGTTAACACTACAATAGTATTTAGGTAATGAACTATTTTTCGTTGCCGTACGTCTTAAACTTAATATTATTCTGTATTATTTTACAAATATTCTAATAAAATATTATTATTATAGTAACTTCAATTAAATAATTTGATTATTTCATTATATTTATTGTGTAATCAAAATGGTTCCCACATAGGATATGAAATTCATTTTTTATATTTTCAATTATTTATATAATTTTTTAAATTATGAGTTTATGATATGTACAGTGCTGTTTATATCAATCGTCCGGACTGAAAGATTTTTATTATTTATTTTAAACTCATATTAATCATAAAACTACATAATGTTTTTAAAAAATTACTTACGCATTGTTTCTAGAAAAAAAAAATTATTTTTTTGAAATCAAAATTGTATAATAATGACTCAGTTATATATTTAGTAATATTATAGAGACTTTTTTTTAAGTGTGCTAACTCAATTTGTATGGTTAAATATTTATAAATTAAGATTTTAATTATTGAGTGTTGTATTTGTTTGTATTGTGAAAGACAAGATTATCAAAAATTTGATGTTTCACAATATCTAAGAAGTATCATGTGCCAATAAAAATGTTGGTATCGATTTTTTCTGATATTGATTTTGTTAATTAGATGTTTCTAAAATTGTTAACCCATAATAATCTAAATTTGTACAAAACATTTTTGAATTATTTAAATGCTATAGTGAATTACATAAAATCAGTTTATTTACTACTGCACGAAACCAAACAAAAAATTTCCTATAGACTGCTCCTAAAAAATGGTTGGTATGCTGATAATTTATTGTTAAATATGGACAAAGTTAATATTCCAGTAAGGTCGAAATACCGACAGTTAAAATTCCGAAACTTTAATCTTAACAAGATCTAAATTCTGACAATTTTCAAATCTTGACAGGATAAAAATATTTTCAAAATCTTAATCCGTTTTTCATTTCAAAACGATGTTTAAATGATGTCCATAATGAAGTTTCTAAGCCTTGTGATAAATTATGATAAATTAAGATACATTAATGTAATAGTATGATGGCATACAGTATAATTCAATACAATTTTAATAGCTACATATATAATAATAGGGTGGAATGATTTTTGTGTATTAAAAAACCAACTCTTATTTAAGAGTTTCAACTCCAAATTATGTAGTTATACTGTCATGAGAGGAGTAAACCAGTGATTGAAACTTAATTTAAAGACTTGTGCACCTAAAAACAAATTAAAGCCAAGTTATGTGCGAACATTTTTAACTCATAAACTGGAATTAACCCAACAAAGTTTCATTTGGGTCATCTTCGTGGTTTACTCATCTTTTATATATGAAAAAACACAGTGGTAATTCATACTTACAGATCACAGAGTGTACTACATGTTACACTAATAATAAAAAACCACATGAAATTTTAAACAAAATACTTACGGCCAGTTACTAGAATAAAAAAAAAAAATCATTTAAATTAGAACAGATATACATTCAATTTTCCCTCTTCCTTCCCAACTTTCCATCTACAACTGTAGCCCACCTATCGTGTAAATTAGGTCCGTATTTATTCCGTTAGATCTTCATTAGAATAATCGACTATAGTAAAAAAATAATCAAAACCCGTATGAAACAATAAATTAATTAAAACTTCACTTCATTCGGCTAGATTAAATAACTAAAATTATTTTATTTTAAATATCATAGTAATATAATGGTCTATAATAATAAATCAGTTAAGGAAACATTAATTTCTTTTATAGGTTATATTCGATAATATACTAGTAAATAGATAAAATGATTTGTATTCTTAAATTTCTTATTAATTGAAAATTATAGTCTGAAATTAACTTTTAGCTAAATTAGGCGAGTTTTTTGATATAGGGTTTCGACTTAATATCAGCAATACATTCTTTACAGTGAACTTGTACTATCATTTATTATAATTACCTAGATTAAATTTATGGAAAAAAAAAAAAATTCTTCGTTACCCTTAAAGTTTTTTGGTTGTTAAATAATTATATGCCAACATACTTGCATCCGAATCTACATTTTCGTATGTATGTCCTGTGTGGATAAAGATCGCACAAAATATTAAAGAAAAAATTATTAAATGTTGCATTTTAATATCTTTAATATCTCTAATATTTTATCGCGAATGATAGAAATAATGAATGTCTATTAAAAAAATTTATTTTACACACATTTATATAGTGGTATTTTACCTGAAGAATAATGTAAATAACAATATGTTGTTTATTTAAGAAACATGTAAAATGTGTGAACTATACAAACATAGATATTAAAGGAGTATAATTTATAATAACATTTGTTTATTGTTTATATAGGGGAAAAGCATTCATACCCAAGGTATAAATATTGTTTAAATAGGTATCTCTAGTGAGTTTATGTCAGGGCTTGAAATCGGTTTTGAAATCGAATTTAAATACCGGTTACAACCGTTCAAAAATCAGTACCAATATCAAAATCAAAATTTAATCCATACAAATTGAAAACCGATTTCCAAAATTGAAATCAAAATCGAAAAAAAATAAAACTGAATTCCAAAATTGAAACCAAAATCGAAAAAAAAAAGATTTCCAAAATTAAAAAAATTAAATCAAGTAAAACAATCCAAAATTAATTAAATTTGTTATACTTATCTCAAACATTATATCATTATCCGAACAGACGCTTATAAATCCAACGGTAAAAGTTTTATAGACATACACTGCATTTTTACAGGAATAAATAATAATGCAAAACAAAACCCTATCCCATAATTACTTTAATATTTTTATCTGAAATTTTTGTGTGTCAAAAATTTGATTATATCGATTTATTATTACAGGTTATAATAAATTATTAGACTTAACCAAACCAACCGACTATCGCTTGTAATACCTAATTATTACTTTCCTTATATAAAATCTAAAAAAAATCGAGAATACATAACAATAATATTTAGACAACAACCGCAGCCGCCAACAATTATAATAAAAAATTTTTAAAAATTCAAAATTTGATTACATTGATTTTGGAATCACTAAAACCAAAAACAGTATTCAAAATTAAAACCAAAATCAAAGCAAAAATAAACAGGTAATTGAAATTGTAACCAAAATCGGAAAAAAATAAAACCGATTTCCAAAATTGAAACCAAATTCGAAAAATTTAAAATCGAAATCTATTTATAGAATAATAGCCAAGTCAAAAAGGAGATCGAAAAAATGGTCAGATAAAAATAGACATATACTGAAAAAGCCAGAAGAAGATATGGGTAAAGGAAATTATGACCAAAAATTTGTATGTCCCAACAAATAAAAGTAAAATGTATACAACAGAATTTTGTATGTATTTCGAACATCAAATATATTGCATGATTGAGACTTCTCGTACCTATGTTGTTAATTACAAACGATATTATTACGAAATTATAATATATTACTAATATCTTTCGTACCTTATCCCTTTTTTTTTTTTTGTCGATGTTTCACATTTCATGAGAAAACTCCTGAGAAAATCAAAAATGAATAAACGAAACAACCTTAAATTATTTCCGCACACCAATTTACTTTCAGAAAAGGTGCTATACTTTTTCCAATACAAGTCGTAAAATAAGTTAAATAGTTCCTGAAGTTATTTTTATTTAATTTTCCCTTTATATTTCATAATAATATAACGTTTATTATAATTTTTTGAAAATTTGTTGTACAGTTCCTACGTGTTTCCACAGGATGTTTTTTCCAAATCTCAAAATTATTGCATAAATGGTTCTATGCTATTGGTTAGGAAGAACTTGTGAAGATAAAGCAGCATAAGATACTGTTGCAGTATTTGAACAAATTACTTAAACAATGATATTTGTTGTTTGGTTCAACTTACGATATAATTTTGTTCGATTGATATTCGAAGACAAAAACTTTTTTTAAACAAATGGATCTAATGGTTATTTATGCCTTTTAATCTCCAAGGGATTTTGGGGTTCAAACAAGGGTATCGAAAAACAATGTTTTACATTTTTTGCCTTTGTAACTAAACAAGAAAAAAACAAATGCATTTTGGATTTACCTAAAGACCCGAACCATCGCTCCTTCGGACTACTTTAATCGCGTAACACCCATCAATTTATTGTGCAGACTTTTCTACTAGAAATCTTGCTCTGATGTATCAAGTGTAAATTATTTCCTGAAATAAAATTTTATCTCTATGGTAATTTAGAGAAATCATTTTTTAATTTTTCAAACGGTCATCATAATATCTGGGATAAACCGGGATAAAATTTCAGAAAACAAAAAATGTACAAAATGTAGGTATGAGTAAAAAAAATACCATGGCCTTTGTTTTCTGAGTACAACTTTTTTACCAGCAATTTCGCTCCAATTTAAAATGATAGCACTTTTTTTGAAAGGAATTCTGACTGAGAAGGTACTCTAGAAAGGAATTTTTCGATTTTCCCAAGAGTTTCCTCAATCAATGTGAAGAACCGAAAAAAAACGGAAGAAAAATGGGAAATGTACAAAATGTATCTATTAGTTGAAAAATATTTCTGCCTTCTTTTTTCCTGTGAACAACATTTCTACCTGTAATTTTGCTTTAATTTACAATGATAGTACTTTTTCTGAAAGAAAATTTCACCAGGATGGTACTATAAGAGAGAGCATTTTTGAAATGTCGATAAATGAAAATCGATACACTATTAAAAAAATATTACTAAAGAGATTATATAATGCCTATTTAATTATTTTACCACAATATGACGTATATATATTGTTAATAAAGCAATACTATCAACTGAACTCTGCTCAGAATCTTTTTTTCATTAGTAATAGTTTATAGTTGCTCACAGATATACAATCAATTCTATTTTGTATCCTATATTTTGAACTTCCGATCAACAGTGACTGCACCCGTCCCCATTATCCTATGAAATTTTTTTTTGTTGTAACTTGATTAAATATAATCGTAAAAACCAAAAATGTTCACTGATATTTTTCAATATAATATTCTATTATTTTGAATATTTTTTTCAATATGTCGACATGATATTATATTGTTTTACACTCTTTCCCACAAATTTTTCTTACTACTCAACTTAATATATTACGGATTTATATTACATAATAGTTGTATGGAATGTATAAAAAATACAAATTTAATTTCACTATTATATAAAATTTATCTACATTTAACGGATGATATGTTTGTCATGATTATTTTAATGAGTGTATTTCAATGTTTATTCCCTAAGAAACTTCTAAAACATACATCAATCAAAAATCTGTACCTATATATAACAATGGCCATATAAATGTATAATATAAAGATTATATTTTTCCCTTATAACTATATGATAATATGTTTTTATGATATGATAATTTATTGTACAGTTCATAAATGTTTTCACTGGATGTTTTTTTAACTCTTTAAATTATTGCATATGTGGCTCTATGCTATTAGTTAACAAAAACAATAAATACGTAAACATAAAACAGCATAAAATACTGTTGTAGTATTTGAACAAATTATTTAAATAATGATATTTGTTCTTTGGTTTAACTTACGATAAATTATTGTTCAATTGATTTTGAAGCAAAAAACTTTTTTTTCTCACGTCTTACAAAAAAAAAAAAAAAACAAATATATTTCAAATATCTAGCTATATATATATATATCCCGTGAAAAACCTCAGAAAAATGTTGGTACTTTGGGAGGTAATTTTTTGATTTTCCATGCGATTATCATAATATCTGGAAAAATCTAGGATAAAACAGAAGAAAAACAGGAAATTTCCAAAAATAATACTTTTATTTTTCAATTATGTTATTTTATGTAATTCAGTAAAAATATTTGTAGAAACTTGAAATTTAGATAGAAAACTTATATTTGCTTTTTCTAAACGTGGACAAATTTTCATAATATTTGAGCAATTTTTTTTAGCTGTTTATAAAAATTTTAATATTTTGGTTGAAAATCGGCTAAAATTATTCGTAATTGGCTCTATGGACTTAAAATGTAAATTAATTTATTGTCTTTGCTATTTCTAGACGTTGAACATTTTTCAAAAAATTTAAACCATTTTTTAGATATTTATTCGGTAGGTGTTCTGTGGTGAAATTGATTGACTTGATAGAAATGATTCAAAATTCAACGGAAGGTTCATTAAGGGTCTCAATTTGTGGTAAAAAATAAAATAAAAAAATAGAGATTAATATAGTGTTTTTTAAAATTCACGTACTTAGGAAACACGTACTTAGGATTGCAAATCATGCTTTTGTTTATCATTTTAAATTTGAATATATATTATAAAATAAATTCAGTTTTATACTTGGTTAAGAATCAATTATTAATTATATATAATAATGAAAATTATAATTAATACGTTTACTATAAGTCACACGTATCCAAACTGTTTAATAATTTTATAGTTTTAGCGTGGAAAGATAATACTTATTATAAAAATATCATTACATCATGCTTGTAGAATTATTAACAATTTTTTTGTTATGTGAAATGGATAGTTAGAAAAATATTGTTTATTCCTTTACGAGTGCAGCAAAATGCATAATATACACATGTATTATACGAGGAAAGCCGTTTAATATCCATACACAAAAAGCAAAAAAGTTATATGACGCAAATCAAGGTTAATACATGTTGTCATGGCGTCATATAAATTATAACAATACATTTTCGTTAATTAAATTGTCATTTGTATAAATTTTCATATACAAATGATTATTTATCGATTTATCGATATTATTTATACGAAATGATATTTCGTATAACAAAAAAAAAAAATACAGGATTGGCAGACCAATAATTTTGTTTTGTTTTTTGATCTGTTCATCGTTGTTGTTTATTGTTTTTTGGTGAAATATATTTGTATTTTTATTATTATATTATTAATATAACATTATATTAAATTAATTATCGTAAATGTCAAACCCCAGANGTGTACAAATCATCAAATTAAGATATTAAATAATTTTTAATGCTCAAAATCCACTGTTAATTTACTTACTTATTTACAAAAAGCGTTCGCTAAGGTTATATCTGAAAAAAAATCTTTATCTATACATTTTTGATTTGAAATTGATTTACGGTTAAATGTAACCATGCAACTGTAGGCATTTAAATTGATTTATTCATGATATTTAATTGAAAATTAATGAA